ATCATTGACGATTTTAACAAAATTGCTATGTGGCATTTTATCCGTTACTTCTCCATTTATTTTACGAATAAGATCGTTTGTACGTAAACCGCTACGCTGAGCGGGACTATTTTCTTCGACTTCACGCACAAGATAAGTAATTTTATTATACTGAAGATGAAACCCATAACCAGAATAGTTTGGATCGCGTTCTAATTTGATCTCACGTAGACCTGGATGCACTTGTTCGCTTGTGGATGAAGATGGGTTAGGTAATGATGGAAGATTTTTCGAATTTTCAGTTGTCGATTGTGCATTTCTATTACTATTACCTTGAGCAGTAGCAGCATCCGATTTTTGAACAGCTGGTGAATCTACTGGTGGAACGTACGATTGATTTATCTCTTTAGCGGCAGCATGACGAGCGGCAATTGCTGTAAGAGAGTTCGATGGTTCTGGTGAATCAGTTGCCGGAGCAATGAGAGTATATGGTGGTGGTGGTTGGGATGACTGTTCAGTTAGAATCGTCGAGTTTCTTACAGCGGGAGATACACTAGAGGGTTTTTCTAAAATAAAACGTAAGAATTAAATTGGATTAGAAATCTTTTTCGTGAGCAAACCTCTATTAGATGATTGTTCTTGATGAGTCGGGTTTTTTTTGTTTTGTTTTTGTTGCTGTCTAGTTTCAGATTCTGTTGATGTTCGTTTTATACCGTGTGAGGATGCTGATTTAGTAGCATCTGTATTTGATTTCTGTTGTAAATTTCCTTGATGTTCATTTACTGGTGTTGGCGGCGGTGACTGATTGCGCGTTGAATTTCGTTGTTTTTGTTGTTGTCTAGTTTTGGATTCTGTTGATGTTCGTTTTATACCGTGTGACGATGCTGATTTAGTAGCATTTGTATTTGATTTCTGTTGTAAATTTCCTTGATGTTCATTTACTGGTGTTGGTGGCGGTGACTGATTGCGCGTTGAATTTCGTTGTTTTTGTTGTTGTCTAGTTTTGGATTCTGTTGATGTTCGTTTTATACCGTGTGACGATGCTGATTTAGTAGCATTTGTATTTGATTTCTGTTGTAAATTTCCTTGATGCTCATTTAACAGTGTCGACGGCGGTAATTGATTGTGTGTTGTATTTTGTTTTTTGTCTGTTCTTGGAAATACTTTTAGATCTGAGTCATATGTTGCTGGTTGTAGAACATTTGGATTTTGTGTTATTCTTCGTTCAACATCTATTTTTGGTTGTTGAGTTTGATGATTATTAGTGTTACTACTATTTCGGGAAGTCTGTCGTGGATTGGCATTCTTTTCGTGTAAAGGAGCATTTACTACTGACGTATTCATATCATTGCGATGTTGTTCAACGGGAGAAGCGTTTTCAGTGTGTTTATATTTTTTCGAATGAGAATGTCGTGCACGATCCTTATGTCTCGTTCTATGTTTTGAATGGATATGTCGATTAGACGATTCAGCTAAACGTATATCACTAAAATCGCTGTCTGTAATATTTGGTGAATAGGAAGATCGTGGATGATCAGATCTAAAAATAACTTCTGGTTTGCGGTTATTATTCAGTCGACTTTGAACGAGGTAATATGATTTATTTTCATCATCTGAAGTTTTTTTCAATATAGAGTTGATATACCTAAACGCAACTAAAATTAATAGTTACCAAACGGTTATTTCAATAATTACCTTTCCAAATTATTATGTAAACTGTTTTGACTATATTTTTTCGCATATAAGTAAGAATTTAAATGTTTTGGATCAATTAGAAAATCATAGGATGTTGGTGGTGTTTGTTCAACATAATATTGACTATTTGGATTATCAACATAGTTAGTCATCATGGTTGATAAGACTGTATGCAATATGTTCGATGGTAATATAACTAAGTCAATGCTTCTGGCATTTATCGCTTTTTCCACAATAAACTCTTTTGGATTTTGGACATTTGCAATTCGTTGATCATTGACGCCTAGTATACGATCCCCGGGTTGAATTTGAGCATTGAATGCCGGGGAATTATTTTCAACTGTTACAACATATAAACCATGAGATATATCTTCTTCGATATAAACGCCGAAACTGTCATGATCTTGAACTTTTTGCAATCGAACATATCTCGCTTGTGGTGGATAAATGGCATGGGAAAATGATTGAAGAGATTCATCTGTATCTACATCCAAATGATCAGATAATGTTGAATTCATCAAGTATAAGCTTGTCTTTAATTGTCTGTTTTTGCTGAGCTATATATATAGAAGTATGGATTCTTTTAGATTAAAGTCACAAGATAATTTGTTTCCTAATTTTTTTATTGTAAATTCAAGTAGGAATAGATCACTTACATTTTGAAAAACACGATTTCAATTGAATAAGCTCGCGCTTAATATGTATGATCAATTTAAAAGTACCATTAAATTGTCGATCGTTCTCTATCTTTCTGTACGGTGTGATTGTACTTGCATACATGTACTTTTTATTATGCATGATTGCCTCTTCGATCAAAATATATTTATTTCTATTATTGAATGATTAGCAAAAAGCAGATAATAGTAGAGACGTGAAACATAATATTATTATAGAATACCTGTATAAAAATACTGGAACGGAACACAGTAACCCCGGACAAACCATCTCAATCTTAAATGTTTATGATGTTTGTTGTCAACGTCAGAATATCAAACTATGATATATATATATATATTTATAGAGGTCACGTGATATGATGTTTTGTATGACGAACTGATATTTGTTTATGTATTATCGTTTGTACATGATTCACTTTTAATCTAGATACTTTTATTTTCTGATATAAAGTCATTAGTTTACTTTTTGTACTGTAAATCCACAATAATAGTCATTATCTGCACAAATATCGTTATTTTACTATCTACGTATCGATGTGTAAATATGAGGAAGGATGTATACTTTAGAACTGTGTACATACAGTGGAAAAATATCTTTTTTCAAAATCATTCTCTTTTCAATCTCGTTCTGTAAACAACATAAATACCAAGTAATTCGCACTTTGTTCTCCTTCAGTGTAAATTTCGTTCTTTTCTTCTGCTTTTTTTCTCCTATTTTCTCTCTATCATACATAAACACATCCATCATTCAATACCGTTTAGTCATCTTATCGACAGAGAGAGATTTTCACATTACTAATTATATTTGCTTAAATAGAAAATTTACATAAAACATTTATTTACCTTGTTTAACTATAAAATAGTACGTAGTTGACTAAAAATAGAAAAATATTTTTCTATAAAAAATATTACTTATTTCACTGTTGGTTTATTAGAAATCCTATATAATTGATGTCGCATTACTATTCGTGATGATATGATATAGATAGCTTTTATCGGATGGTTAATAACATACATCAACAAAGATGATCCTCGATACGGGAGAGAAATATTTTGAAATGAAAGAGTTGCATCTGATGGTATATAAACTAATAATTATTTGAAATTTATATTTACAATTACATACACATACACCACATCAAAAAATATATAACAATACTATAAAACGAACATCAGTACATAAATACGAGTACTGAATCACTAATTATGATGTTCTCAAGTCTCTTCTTTTATTCCCGCTTGTTCCGATGAACTTGTTGATCTTAGACCACTATTTGATGCATTTTTCGAACTGCCATTTTTGTCGTCGTTCGCTTTCTCAGGTTCTTCAATTGACACTTCGGCATAGGATGGTGCTTCTTTCTCTAAAGCAATATGTCAAAAATTAATGAAAATCCTAATCTACTGTAGTTTCATATTGATATTTTTTTGTATTTCTCATTTTTCAAAGTAAAAAAGAAACGGATAAAAAATTGAATAGAAAATACATTCATTCACAGGTGTTACCGAATAACCAAATCAAAACTATCTCCTTATACATTGGAAGCAATCTTAATGAATCAAATTTACCTTTTCCATCTAATTTATGTAGAGCAAATCTCGTTTTCCCTCTATACGTCAACACTTTATCAATATTAGCTGCCACAAGTATATAATCGTGTCCATAAATGTGTTGTTCAGTCACCAATTCTTGAGCCACTATTATCGGATGATCTTCCTTTGGTTGATATTGGAATGTGATGAGTGAAAATGCTTGTCGACCTGGTTCTTTAATTTTCAATTTTATGGATAATGGTGGTTCGATCAAATTTAACCCCCGGAAACCATCATTGCCATTACCTCCAATAGATTTTGTTTCATCTCGAATATGTTTTTGTTGATGTGTAGGACGAAAAAACTTCCGAATCGTTTCTAATAAAGTATTTTCTGGTATCATTTTATCGCGATTTAGACCATGAGATCGATCTACAAATATTAACGTATAAGTGTCAGAATTGTGTCAATAAGTGTTGATTTAACATCCATTAATATAGGATGAGAAAAATTTTGTTTTTAATGCAAGTACCTTTGAATTCATCGTATTGTAAATCAATATCAATTTGTTGTTCAATACACTCAATTGTTAATTTTAGTGCCAAATGTTCACTAACATATTTTTTATCTTGAGCTAATTTAAAAAAATCCATAGTTAATAATTCAGTAGCCGATGGTCTTTTAATTGCTAATGGCTCCAATGTTAAACTAAGTAAATTTCGAAATTCTTGACTATATTTTGAATATTGATTTTCTCGATCACTGTTTGAATCAAGCGTAGGACCTTTCGTTTGATTAATAATGACACGAAATACTTCTTGAGCACTTTTCTTATGATAGGGTGGATGACCTGTTGCACACTCGATACCAACAATACCAAATGCCCAAATATCGACCTTATTATCATAACCAATTGAACTAAACATTTCAGGAGCCATCCTAGAATAAAAAATTTTATGATATTTAGTTAAATATTCATTATTTACATACCAATACGGTGTCCCAACGAAGGTATGTGCAATTTGTTTTTGTGTAGCTGACGATGTTGTAATGAAAGCTGAAACGCCAAAATCGACAATTTGTATACTTCCATCTACTTTACACATGATGTTACCAGCTTTAATATCTCGATGTATTAAATTTTGTGAATGTAAATAATTTAAACCTTTTAATATTTCACGCATTATTGTTGCTATCTCTTTTTCCTCTAGAACACCTAAATACCAATCATGTTTTTCGCTCATTCGTTTTTCAATAATTTGTCGAATTGAACCACCGTCAAGTAATTGCATAACAATCCAGAGTTCTGTTTTATATACGAATGATGTATAAAATTTGACAATATTCTCTTGAGAACAATTAGCCATAATATGAATTTCACGTACAATATCAATATACATACTTTCTTTGATGGGTATACGTTTGATAGCCACACGTTTTCTTCGTGAATTTAAACATGATAAACATTCAGCTGCATGTACGGAACCCGTAGCACCTTCACCAAGTTTTTGACAAATTATATATTGTTCTCGTTTCGATGGCCAATCTTTACGTTCAATATTAATTTGTTCTTTCAATGTAGTGTTTTCTAGACGAGTATCAGGAGATGATCGTACTGATGTCATATTTGTAGTTGTAAAAAATTCTTAGTAGAAGATGATAAATGTACAATGGTAATGAAATTAATGATATTTAGTTGTAACATTGTCCTCTCTCTTCGTTCAAATTCTTTTAACGATAATAGATCTTTTTTCTTTTCATTATTAATTCAACAACTATTATAATAGTTAAAACGAATTCGCGCGTTTAAGAAAATGAGTAATTCCAAATAAAATTATTTATACGAAAATAAGACCTGGGAAACATATTTTAATGAGAAATATAGTTTTTTGCACTGTACTTTCCTGTATCATCAATAATAAACATTTGTTAACATGTCCTAAAATAATTATATCATATTTTCTAGAATCGATATAATTTCAAGAAAATCTATTAAGATAGGACAGGAAGACAGTGAAGCGACCGATTCCTAGTACCTGTTTTATGTTGGCACATGTATAAAAGTAACAACTAATCTCAAATAAAGTTCATTGATTTTTCTTATTAAAAAATACGTCTCTGCATCGAATACATCTCTTCATCAGTAAAGGAGGAAACATATAACAGAAGAGAGCAAAGAGAAATCATATTATCAGCAAATTAAAAACTGTGAAGAGGAAAATAGCAATTATTGTTTTTCTGATTTATTCTTCATCTTCTACAACATTTTCATTCATAAAATTTTAATTATCTCAATATATGTTACGTCTGAAACAAAATCTTTTAGTTTATTCCATGCAAGACTCATAATGGAATATATTTTAAAACAACTATATCTAGCCTGACAATTGCGACAATAGAAATAAAAGCGAATTATTGTCTGTTTCGGATGTAAGTTGAAATGATCTAATGACAGAAATTTCTACAATAGTTTTGATGATCAAAGGAGCTTATTTCAACTCTATTGTTAGTTGAAATTTATCTGACATTTTGAGAAAAGAATTTCTCATATTAAAGAACAACATTTTTTATAGTCAGTTAAGAATAAGTTCATTTTACATTTTTCAAGAACACAAATCCCAAGTTTCTTTTTTCTCAGAAAGAGATTAAAATTTTGGTAGAAAGTGGTAAAGAAAGATTTTACGAAAAGCAATCAATAAGAAAGCAAAAATGCTTTTTCTAAACTTATACGCTGCACCAAAGATAGACGAAACGGAATTTTCGAACGTTTTGTCTTCTTTCGTATCGTGAAAAGTTTTTTTCTATAGTCATCTCGGAGGATTTTGATAAATTTTCTAGGAAAATGTATAACTATTTGAATATGTAGAATTATGTCTTCTTTTTCAACCTTTTATATAAACGCGGTCAGTTGTGTAAGAGAGTTGAGATCGTTTATATTTTTATCCATGTTAGAAATAGATAGAAAAGACTTAGAATCATCTATGTTTGTGAAGAGTATGACGTATTATTTGTTAAACACATAAGATCATTAATAACTTTAATAAACCTATTAGTTCTATAACTATAATAAAAGCAAACACATCAAGAAATACGTTATCATGCAGAATAAGAGTTTTACAGTTACACATCTGTGTTCATGATCGTGCTGTTATTTTATGTATTTTCTTTTTCAATTTTTCCTTTGGATTTTTGCTCGAGTCTGATTGTGCATCCTGATGCTCTCCTCCTCTGCCAGCATCCGAAGCAGTAGTAGTAGTAACAACAGTAGTAGTAGTAGCTGTCACATTTTTTTCTGGAAGAATAGCAGATTCTGGCTTTTGTTCAACAGTGAATGTGATCTCATTACTATCATTGACGATTTTAACAAAATTGCTATGTGGCATTTTATCCGTTACTTCTCCATTTATTTTACGAATAAGATCGTTTGTACGTAAACCGCTACGCTGAGCGGGACTATTTTCTTCGACTTCACGCGCAAGATAAGTAATTTTATTATACTGAAGATGAAACCCATAACCAGAATAGTTTGGATCGCGTTCTAATTTGATCTCACGTAGACCTGGATGCACTTGTTCGCTTGTGGATGAGGATGGGTGGAGAATATCTATGTAATTCATTCCAGGCAAGACTCAAAATGTAATATATTGTAAACAACAATTACATCTAGCCTGACAATTGCGACAATAGAAATAAAAGTGAAATATTGCCTGTTTTGGACGTAAGTTGAAATGATTTAATGACAGAAATTTCTGGAATATTTTTGATGATCAACGTACCTTATTTCAACTGTATTGTTAGTTCAAATTTATTTGACATTTTGAGAAATAAATTTTTCATTTTTAATCAGAAGTTTTATAGAAAGAATAGAGGCACACAGATCAAAATGATAATATACCTTTAATGATACTAAGAGATAACAACTGACTTACATGCGAATTTGAAATAAAAATGGCAAAGATAGTGTCATAGAAAAATATGATTGATATGCATCACATACAAATGACAGATAGAAAAAAACATGATTACCAATAGATGAATTTCACAGTATAACGTTTAAATATGACGAGAGAAGAAAGAAGAATAATATCTACAAATCGAATATTGTAACCTAAATTTCTAATCAATGTTTTTAACATGTCATCGCAAAAAAACAATACAAGAAATCATGCATATCGTATTGTCGAACGTCTGTTTTAGAATAAATATTATCAGATATTTTGTCATTAACGGTAGGGATTATTACCCTTGAGAAATACTTTGCGGCCGTCTATATATTATGTATAATACGCAAAGAAATAGTTGATTTGCAAATAGTAGGAGGAAAAGTGGATAAAATTGAGACATTCTCGTTCATGACTAAAATAAAAGAGTCAAACCTCCTGCAGTGAGCCAAAACTGATTATCCATCTTACTTTTCGACTTTTCTCGTCGATCATAGTAGCTAGAGCAAATCTAAAAAGAGATTTGAATAGCTGGAAGAGTTTCTGATCTGATGCAGTGTCTATAAAGATTAACCAAAACTGCTTGTAGCTAGTTGCTCTGGAAAACCAATAACATAGGAAATCAACCGCTCAAATTCAATTTGAAAACTTTTGGCAAACAACTTCATCGTATAGACAAACATTTCTGGCAAAATCAAGCGTCTCTGATTTCCCCACGACAACTGCACTTTCGTGAAACTGCATTCGATTTATGAAAGGGTTTAAACGAACTTTCTGCCAATTTTCTGCGGATTCTGACAGCCTAAGGTGTTTCGCAAATTGGATAAATGTGAAGAGCGACACAAGTTGCCAGAAGCTGTAGGATCATATCAAAAGCACATTTAAGTGCTCTATATTGTGCTAGTCTTCGATAGACCTGGTTTGTTATTTTTCAACCACAGCTGTGGTCATTATTACCCCTGAGAAATCTTTCGACGAATAAATTGAACATTCTATACACACCAGAGCTCCGTATGGACTCAAAGTTCTGAGTCCAGTCTATAGACTGAAAAACTCTAGTCCAGTCCAGTTCGAGTCCATGAAAAACAGTTTTTTCAGTCCATGGACTCTAAAAACGTAGTCCATTCCATTCCATAATATAAAAACAACCTGTTTTTCCTCGATTCAGGTGAATCCAAAATTTTTTTCGAGTCCAGACCAGTTCATGGTCTTGAAAGTTTGAGTCCAGTCCAGTTCGAGTTCATAAAGTCAAAAAATTCCCAGTCCAGTGCATAAGGAGCTCTGATACACACTTACCAACCACGTACTGGCCTTTCAGGAAACTGGAGAAAATATATTGTTGATTACACGGTCTTAAGTAAAATTATTTAACTTGTCCAAGATTATTACACGATTTGTCGGTGCCAAAGTTTGAACGCAGCACCTTTGAAGTACGTCATGAACTATATAATCGCTAATCCATGCTGCTCTACCAGTTTGACTTACGTGCATATCTTTTCTTTGTATAAAACTTGTTCTTAAAAATTAGAAATCCTTTTTCCGAAATATCAAATAAATTTGAGTAAATTTGAGCCAACAATACATTTAAAACACGGTACTTTGATCGTCAAACTATTTATTCTGAAGTTAAAAAAATTTGTAGTTAAGATCAACAAGATCTTTGGAAAACCAGCTCGGATTTCTAGAAACCAACACAGTAATCTATCGTTCTGTTTTCACCACAGTCTTTTGTTCACAGAAGAAAGCATTTCTTGTTTACTCTGCTTTCGAATATCGTTTTACGATTTATTTGTCTTGTAAAAACCTGCAAGAAAGGTTTTATATTACTACCGAAGTTAATCAAGCCAAGCTCTTTTTCGTAGACAGATAGTCCGAAGTGTGTCCTCTACAAAATAAGATCTAAGAAAAAGTTTGATTTTGCTTGGTTCGGGCACCACGGACCTTTTGCCAAAGCTACTTTTTTAAATAAAAAAGAAGTACAAATCCTTGTATAAATAGAGGCCGGTTGTTAAGAGTGATACTGACCGTTAAATTATTGCACAACTTGTATCGTTGTATATGATATATGACAGAACGTGAAAGTTTACTTTTGCAGTTTTTTCTGCAGAAGTGAAATTTGTTTGGCTCTGTCTGTTGTCTGTACAAGGATTGTCTTTGTGTGATACACTTTGCTGCATATTCATTCGTACATTGACGTTTTCATAAGATTTTTGAATCTTTTCTGAAAAACAAATATTGTCACAAGATCCAGCATAGTCAACAACCTATGTTTTCATGCATTTCTGACAGTCACAAGGCTTTGGGAAGAAGATCCGTAGCGCCCGAAACAAGCAAAATCAAATTTTTAGAGATCCGAGCTGGCTTTCCAAAGATCTTGTTCAAAACTGATCTTTGGAATGTTTTTGAAAGACGATTTTTGCTTGTGAAAATATAGCTTAAACTATCGCTTTTCGATTGCTGAAGACCACAGGTTTCTACTATTTTTCTGTCAGAAGTTATTTAAAAAACAACCGAGGCCATTTTACAGACATTTTACAGACAAACAACCGAGACATTTTACAGATGCAAATTTGACCATGGCAGAAGTTCATCTACATAACGATTAAATGAATGTTTTTCAGATTTACTAAAATACTCCAAGAAAAACTAAAAAAAAATTGTTTATATCTCCATTGGCACATATTGTTCTTGATAATGGGAAATATATTGTCGAAACGTCGAACGAAATAGTTTTAATAAAATGCGATTTAATTAGCTCCTCTATTAATTTCTACATTTTTAAAATCTGTGTGTCGTAAAATATAATGAATTGACGCTCAGAAAGATCGTGGTTACAAGTACTGCAACGATTGGAATAGAACAATCATCTTATCCTAAACTACTATTAGAGATCATTCAACTGATGTAACATTCGGATACAACAAGAGACTTTCATGCTATTATACACGAATTGCTACATCGATACACCTAACAAAAAGCGAAATTCTTCTTCGCTATTGTATCTTTAATATAGTCTTTTCTCTTTATAACGTACTATGACAGTCCCCAGTTATTATCATAATATCCTAATAAAAATGTATGTTCAATCGCAGTTCGGTTATCAATACACGCTACATAATCTTTCAAATTGAAATGCACTTCAAACATCTTTCTTACAAAATTATCATAACAGATATGTTCATGGAAAGTCAGAGTAAAAAGGGTAGTCTAATTAACGTTAAAAAGTGTGAATATTAAATCAAAAACATTTATTATGAACAAATCTCGTCATTGGCATGAGAAAATGAACTCTTTTTCTAACTAGTAATCAAGAGCAAAAAAACTGTATAGTATAAATATACAATCAATAAATAAACCATTTATTGATATGACATATTCTAAAAAGAGTACGTTCTTTTACTTATGCACACCTTTTAACAGAACTCAAAAATATTTTTCTTGAAATTACCATTCACCATTACCATTCAAAAAAACGTACATAAATGTGATATTGAATTGGTTACCCGCAGTATTATCCATAAAATAAGAAGCAAAAACAGCTATAAACATATATATGTATATCTAAATCATTTTAAAATGAATAGAAAAACGCATTACAATACTGACAACATCAAATAAGAGATAAAAACAAAAGTAATTTTTGAAGATGTTACTAATTTAGTCAGTTATTAAACAATAAAATTCGTTTTTTTTCTTCTTTAAATTACATCAGTTGCCTGTAAAACAATCATTGTATATTCTTTTTCTAAAACATAGAATAATAACATTTTCAAAACGTACACTATTTAGAAGAAATTGGCACAAAGTTCTTTCAAGCAAACATGGAAAGAACAAATAAACTATAGTGGCAATTTTTGTTCTAAGAATCACTATAAGCGCGGCATTGCACGCTTAATTGTGAATAACTAATTGAGTTCATAAATTAGCTTACGTTTATCATAGTCAGTTAAGAATAAATTCATTTACATTTTTCAAGAACACAAATCCCAAGTTTCTTTTTTCTCAGAAAGAGATTAAAATTTTGGTAGAAAGTGGTAAAGAAAGATTTTACGAAAAGCAATCAATAAGAAAGCAAAAATGCTTTTTCTAAACTTATATGCTACACCAAAGATAGGCGAAACGGAATTTTTGAACGTTTTGTCTTCTTTCGTATCGTGAAAAGTTTTTTTCTACAGTCATCTCTTGTCGTCTCATCTCAGAGAATTTGATCTCTTTTCATTTCGTATTGAACAAAGTTTTAAAAGCTATTTCGTCTCGTGTAAAAAAATTGTCAACATTCTATCTTCATCTATTTATTTAACGGTCGTCGCGTCAAAAATACAAAAAAAAGACGCAATTCTGTAATCAATTTTTTGAGATGTTGATAGTTTCAAATGATGTACGGAGAAAGAACAAATTTTTTCTCGTTTTGTCAAAGTTTTTCTAAGCTGTCTCGTTAAATAATTGAAAAAACCCGTTTGGTTTTGTCTCGTTTTGGAAAATTTTACAATACAAGACCGTTTTACCCACATCTACGCTACAGTCTGTTGGCACAACTAAGGTTTTTTAGACTCTCGGACAACTCTCTTCTAAGACAAAAGAAAGAGAACATTTTTTTTGTGGTGAAATATGACGGCGGAAATACTAATAAAAAGTCAAAAATGTAGGAAAAATCAAATGACTACTGAAGAGAACAAATCCAGAATCGTTACTTACCAGGCGCAATAAGTATCTCATGTTTCTTTGTTCTTATTCGAAGAAAAACAAGTTCATTTTGTGGATCAATATCTCGAATAGTTGATCTTGCTTTGTCTGACAATGATTTAATTAATGCTGCATACTGTTGAGTTGAAGATGAATCAAGAGTTGAACGAATTGGAATACCTATAAATAAACAAAACAAAGGCTAGTTCATCTCCTCAACATTTAGCTATCAACAATTAATACCATCACAATTAATAATCAGGACTCCTAGTACACCTTTGTGTTCCTGAAGACGTTTCAATGTATCTTCTACTTCGGCCTGAAAAATAGATAAAACTAATAAAAAAAAGAAATTTAAATAATGTTTTATTCTCACTTGAGTCATCTTTAAATCAGCGAGAGAAAAGGACGTTCTGTTCTATCTAAAATATGGATCAAATTATTTTTAAAAACAAAAAATGAAAGGTAGCAATAATCAAACAGTGGTCAAACTAGATAAGATTTTATTATACTAAATAACGTTTTTTATGCAATAAGGAAAAGATCGGTAAAAATACAAATATAAAACAAAATACAATAGATGGGTGATCAATGCTCACGAAACATGAGATAAAAACATTTATAAAAAAAGACGAAAGAAATTATTAGTTGAAAATTATTATTTATCTAAAAATCTGACTAAGTAAAATATAGCGTATACATACTGATCTAATGCAAATAAAACACATACAAATTGTTGAAATGACGACAATTCAGCGTTAGAAACAGAAACATTCATGTTCAAAATCTTCATGCTTTCTCTGATGCTTGTAAAACAATTGTTAAATAGTCTTTATCTAAACAAATAGAAAAAATAAATACAAATAAAATGAAACATAAAGATATTGTTTAAGCTTCAAAAGCTTGAAATCACTACAGATAAGATAAGTGATAAGTATCGAAACATAGAATAGTGGCAGGGTAGTTCCGGTTCTTATAGTTCCCAGGAACTGGTCGAAAGAGCTGATCAGCCGTTCTTTTCAAAAAAATCGGAGCCGGTCATCAGTTTCCGATCCATGCCATGGAGTACATTTTACATATCTTCAAGCGAAATTTTCTTTGCAAGTTTCTTACCGGGTGCAACAAGTATTTCTTGTTTCTTTGTTTTAATTCTAAGAAATGTTAAATCATTTTGTGGATCTATATCTCTCACGCAACCTTTCGCCTTATCTGTCAATGTTTTAATCAGGCCCGATAAAGACATTGTTGTTGAACTATCAATATTTGAACGAACAAAACTACCTAACAAAATAAAGAAAAAATCACATAATCTCAGCCTTAAATGAGCCTGTCGAATTTTCAAAAGTATCTTGAACCCATAATTCACATACCAGGTTTTGAACAGCTCTTAACGACTGATCTAACGGTGTATTGGGTTTGTGTTAATTCTTTGTGATTACTGAGATCGAAGTACTCCAACCAATTTGATGCTGAATGAATCTGGTGTAAGTGCAAAGACTCGAGTTCCGTAACAAAGTACAACAAAATATTCTTTTATTCATATTCTTGTAGAGCGATGAGCGCTCTGCAAAATTTATTATTCAAAAAATTCATCTGTTAATTCCAGAATTGGTAATTAATGCTAATTAATTAATTACACTAATTGATTTTCTAATGGTGACCAGACAAACGATTATTTCTTCACGAAAACTAAAAAAAAGGAAATCTATTGCACACCATTCGAAAGAGCGTTTCAAACACTTTTAGATGTAATAATCAGTCATTCTTCAAACTTATCCTTAAATAAGAAACGAACCGTTTCGAAGACGATGCAGAGTGGACATTTTGACAATCTACCAGAACATTTTTAGTGATGTTTAGGTTTACATTTTTTTCAAAGTTTTGCGAGAAAAAATTTTGTTTGATAAACGTTTTGTAGGTTAGACTTTCTCGTTCAAACAAAAAAAAAGCGAAGTCTTCGGAATATTGGAAACATGGAGAAATTGTGACAACAAGATTATTTATTGATTTATCAATATATAACTTGTTAAAATGGATTATTTTTCAAAACTGACCTGTTTCTTCTACAAGAACCAGTCCACGGAAAAGCAAATTTGTATAGCACTCATCGCTCTACAAGAATATGAATAAAAGAATATTTTGTTGTACTTTGTTACGGAACTCGAGTCTTTGCACTTACACCAGATTCATTCAGCATCAAATCGGTTGGAGTACTTCGATCTCAGTAATCACAAAGAATTAACACAAACCCAATACACCGTTAGATCAGTCGTTAAGAGCTGTTCAAAACCTGGTATGTGAATTATGGGTTCAAGACACTTTTCGAACCCGACAGGATTTGTTCTGAAAATATGTTCACTAGCCTTCTGTGCTGACAATAATAAAACCTTGTACACCATTGTGGGTTTGAATTCGTTTAATGGTTTGTTCTACTTCGGCCTAAATAAAACGGAAAACAAAATGAATTGGATGGACAATATACATATGTTTCCATTTTTACACTCACTAGTGACATTACAATGAATCAATCTCTTTTATCTAAAACAGAATCAAATAAATCTCATAATTCTTTCCATGAAAAATGTACGACTCTAATTTTTTACACCAAATAATTAAATTGTGTCCTTAGTGTAGTTTCTAATTCTGATTTTTGAAAGATTGCAAAAATAAGAGATCATAAGAGCAAATTGAACAAGAAATAAAATCGTGCATAACTGTAACATAAAATTCCTTTTTTTACTATGTTAATAGCCTTTATTTGTTGGGTAGTACAATATAATGTTTTTTAAAAACAGAGAAGGTCATTATGCTTCCGGGCGTAGTTTCTCCGAATTTTTGCGCTTTATATGGAGCTTCACATATCTTCAATAATTGTTAAATTTTGCCTCTAAATGTGCTTCCTCAGAACGAGATCTTTAAACATTTCCTAGACAAGGATAACTGTGTTCTTGACAACGAGTACTAAAGCGGGCATTTTCCTTCAACAAGTAGTGCAGTCAAAAATGCCCCAATAACGGTGGAAAGAAGTCATGCAACAAAAGTAGATGTTGTCATTTTTATTCTGGCGATAGTGTTTTAGATTCGATAATTCTGAATCCAGCAACATATTTGAATTTCGGTTGAAAATGCCTGAACTACTTGTTAAATAGCCCGGGTATTAACCCTCTTTCCATCCTATACAGACTCGTCTCTATTCTACATGTGCAAAAACACAAACAAGTCAAACTATTCAAGCTAGAGTAGTTACTAATTACCATCAAGCTACTGTCAAAACAAATGGATCGAATTGTCTCAAAGAACCATGATAACTATGACAACATTTATAGATAAAATTGTATAGCCATAATACAACTATGCACTTGAGTACGAAAATCACTTTGAAGGATCATTCGACAGTTTTCATTGGCTGTAAAATCAGTCACTCAGATAACGAGATGTTTTTTTTACAGTTTATATATGAACTGGATGGCTCCTAACCTCAGTAATGCTAGAATATTTTAGGGTTTTGAAGTTAATGGTTGATTCGAAAAACCGCTCCTTCTTCACGTTAATCACCGTCCTACCACTGGTACTCTCACACTACGCACCAACCTACCACCAGTGATGTAATCCATCTGTAGAGAAATCTAAAAGTCTTTGAAAATCGTTCAATACCCTCTTCATCTGAGTAAAGTTTTGCGGTAGCTTTTTTGTCGAATACGTTTATTTTTCGTCCCATAATGACATAATATTGTACTGAATGATTAGCGGTAGTGATCAAGAGAAAATATTATTTTTAAAAGTTCGCCAATTCGCGAGTAGAAGAAATTTTTTTAGACAATGTCTTATACGAGAATTCAATTGCTCAAAACTTTTTGATCCTAGTGAGCAATGTCTCCAATACTTTTTATGAACTGTGTAGTATTGTCTTGAGCTTTCTTTCTGCGCTCTGCTAGTTCTCTGTATTTCCAGAAGAACAAGGAGATGAGATAATGAAGAATGTACAGTAATTTTTTTGATCATATTTGACTTTTTATATTTCCAATTTTTCTTTTATTTCCTTAGTACATGTTAATGAAAAGATGTTTTTTGTAATGAAATTGCGAATTATTGAAAATCATTTATTGATTATTATGTTTCAGGTTTAGTCCCTAGTACAATGTTTGAAGACGACGATAATACCGAAGTTTCTCCGATCACATTGACAATAAATAAATCATATGCTAAAAATTATGAGAATTGGAGACAAAAAGAAGAAAAACAAAAACGTCGGTAGTTCATATCTGTTTCATAGTCAAACAGTTGGAAAGTCTGGTTCATTTTTATTTAGTTATCAGTCGGTATGGAAGTGATGCTGGAGAATCATCCGATGAAGAACCAGAAGATGATAATGCTCAAGTAAACTAATTTATTCTACACTAGTTTTTGATTACATAATGATAAAATCTGTCATATCTATATAGGAATGGACGGAAGATGTTGAAAAAGAATTTCTACGCTGTTATTCTGTTCTGAAAAAACGCGATCCAAAAATTTATGATGAAAATACAAAATTTTTTAATCAAACTGCAGATACAGTGGCACCCAGTAAGCATTTTTTGTCTGCCATTTCTCGTGAAATTCATTGTCTCTTTCTATTCGATCGGTAGCTGTCAAGTCACAAACAGTGACGTCCAGAGAAAAGCCATTAAAAATGGATTTAAAAATGGCAGAAATAAAATATGCAATGAGCCATAATGATGGAAATGATGATGATGAAGAAATGTAAGATAAACTTTTCTACGATTTATGATTAAATGATTTCATTCGTACTTTGCTCCATGCCGTCAATATGCTTGGATAATAAGAGACAGATGCAGTTCACTGGAAATTCAATTGTATAGAAAAAACTTTACTGGTCAAAATGAGACCTTTACGAACTCTTCACGACATTCGTATATTATACTGAAGAAAGTTCGTTCTACACGCCTGAGTTATGTGTAAAAATTTTCCAATTAAACCGAGGCACTTGGTTTTCTAGCGACCTCATGTCTGCTAATGAAACTTGTATACAAATCGTTCCTGGTTGTAAACTCTTTCAACTATTGAAATCACTTTTCAGATTTGTTCTGGTTATTACAATCGAACAAATAACATTAAAAACAAATCATTTCTACAGTTTTTCATCGACCTATATTAGATCGTACGATCGTCTTTGTAGTCTTCTGTCTGTTTTTTCATTGCAAATGTTACAATTGTTATTTTCTTTTCAATTCAGGAGTCAAAACAAAAACAGAAAATCGATTGTAGAAGAAGAACAAGAATTGAAACAAAGGTTTGTTGTTTTTTGCTATCTGAAAATATTGATATCATCGAAAAATCAGCTCGTATGTGTTCTTTTAGTTTTAAAACTGCATTGAAAAAACACGATGAGGAAACCGATGATAATAATGATTTTTTGGTAGTGAAAGCAAAAACCAATGAACAACAAGTATGTTTGTATGATTTCGACCAGTACCACTTTTTTAATGAATAGGATCAAACTTTTCTATAGGCTAAAGAAGAACAAGACTATATCGAATGGTTAAAAGGACAAAAACAAGAATGTAAGGATGAAGCCAAAACGGATTTGGTACGTGTATTATTGCAATAGTTCTAAAAAATAGATGATTATAACGTTAAACCGAAGGAAGATCACCTTGCATAAGAATTTTGATAGTATTTACTTCTGTTTTTCTCTGTTTAGAATTATTTACATGATTATTGGAATGATCCGAAAATATCTGAGCGTGATCGATTTCTTCGTGATTATATTTTGAATAAGATGTACTTACAAGAAAATGATGATAGGTATGAATACTTAACATTTTTTGTTTTTTTGAAAACTCTAGTTTAGATCTTTTTGTATATTAGATGTATTTATTTAGAATTCCATCTTATCAAGAAATTATTGATGATGATGATGAAGAAATGAGAATTCTGGCCGAAGATGAAGAACATGCTCAAAAACAAGAAGATTTTGAAAGAAAATACAATTTTAGATTTGAAGAACCGGATGCAGAATTTGTGAGTGATTTGTTAATGAACTGTGAAGTTATTATTTTAAACTGTCATCTTCTTTTGTTAAGATCAAACAATATCCACGAACAATAGCGGATAGTGTTCGACGAAAAGATGATAGACGTAAAGAAAAACGAGAATCGTATAAACGACGAAAAGAAATGGTTTGTTACAATTCAGTTTAAAAACTAATGCACTAGGATAGATTATTTTTCAAGGAAAAAAATCAAAAATTGGAAGAAATAAAACGTTTAAAGAACTTGAAAAAGAAAGAAATTTTGGATAAAATCGAAAAATTACGTCGTATTGCTGGAAATGAACAAATGGAATTAAATGTCGATGATCTAGAAGAAGATTTTGATCCAAAAGAATATGATAAACGAATGCATGTAAGAATTATTGGTTAAAAATGTCTGTAACTGAAAAACCATTCAAAATTCGAAAGATTTTCGCTTACTTTGGGCATTTATTATTTCTAACGATTCTTAGAAAGATGAGAAGTTGAATGGCTTGTTCTTCAGCGTAATGATAAACTTAGACACCGTATATGTCCTATTTAGGAGTTATTTAATGAAGATTATTATAAATCTGGACAAGATGAAGAACAAAAACCGGAAGTATCGGATGACGAACTATTAGGTTTGTGTGTATGTGTGTGATGGTTATTCTTCTTTTTCAAAATTCAATATATTATTTATTTTAGTTGAAAATTGGGATCGATCAGAAACACTCAAGAAGAATGATGTACTACAAGATAATAATCAAGATGATGTAAATGAAATTGAACAATCAAAACGAACGAATTCAAATGAAAATGAATTTTTATTTACACAACAAAAGAAGAAAAAAAAATCAAAATTTCGTGTAGCACTTGAAAAAGAAAAGCCTATATTTAATCCAAGTAGGAGATTGACGATTGATTTTATACTTTTACAATTCATTATTATTTTTTGTTTAGAGGACAAAACATTTGAAGAATATTTTAATGAATATTATAAATTAGATTGTGAAGATATTATTGGTGATATGCCCGTTCGATTTCAATATAGAGAAGTTTTACCGAATGATTTTGGTTTAACCGTTGATGAGGTAAATATATAGTAAAAATAAAAATACTTTATACTATCGTAAGAAATGGCGTCAGTTATAAGAACAAAAAGTTATGTTTTTTAATGCATAGCTGTGAAGAACGAAATTAATCGTAATACTTTTCTATTCAAGGAATAAATGTAAAACAATTCTCTCAGAATGTTCTTATAGTGTTTTACTCATTAGTTTTCATTGTTTATTGTTGTTTTTCTAGATATTAACTGCGCGCGATAAAGAACTGAATGCTTGGTGCTCATTAAAAAAGACGTGTCAATATCGATCAAATGAAGAAGAAATTCATGATCAACATTTATATAAAAATAAAAGCAAAAATATGGAACGAAAGCAAAAAATATTATCTAGTGTTTATTTGAATGAGAGGTAGATAAAAAATGGGTTATTTAAGTATACACTAATACAAACCCATCTAAACATAATGGCAAGCGAAGAAAAGAAAGATAGTTACGAAAAAAAACAGTGAAAAATTGATTATCTAATTCTTCAACAGAAATATTCAAATAATCTTTTTTTCTTTCGTTATTTAAATGACTATCATTGAGTGGTCTAAAAGATTTGAAAGGTTTCTTATTTCTTCTGCACTATATATCATTTCTATAAAGAACAAAAAAAATTCTATAATTCATTGATCGATAAAAGTGATAACAGTAGTGATATCGACTATATGTATATGTATACAAAAAAACAAATATTAAAAAGGAATGAAAAACGTATGCACAATTAACTAGTGTATATGCGATGAGAAATCGTTTTTTTTTAACTCAAACTATCCAGTTGAGAAGGAATATACTAGAATGAATGATCAAAAATCAAATTGAATAGAGAGAAAACTCAATTAATGAAATCAGAGAGAGAGAGAAAGAGAGATACTGTTATCACTTTATTATTATCATTAAATCGTGAAATGTATATATTGAATCTTCTATCTTAGTAGATTATTTTTAAAAAAAATAACAAATATACGTGTTGCATTCTTCTAACGTATATATAATCTACGATGCAACAGTGATTAGACTGATGTCGCGCGCGCGCGCGCGCATTATTTCTCCATGTCTCCGATGTGTTGACAAGTTAATCATTTTTCGATTAGAAAAATCAAAGCTTCAAAACGCATAGAAAAACCAAATGTTTTTGTGGTAGTCTTTAAATGAGAAAAAATAAAAATATGAAACGTCATCAAAAAAAGTTCTTCTAGCTTCCGTTATTTCGAAACGCATTTTTTTTCTACAACATCTTTGAAATTAAGTAATTATAGAAACAGAAAGTTTTTTTCTTGCTCTTTCAAATAGGATACAATCAATAATCTGTCGATCCAGTTTTCAACCAGAAATTATAAAAATTTTCATTAGTTTCAGAAACATGATTAATCAGACTTAATGATTTTTAGATATTGATCGAACTTTGTTGGCGTTGTTTTGTTGTTGTTGTTGTTGTTGTTTGTGTTCCTAAAATACACTTTCTGAAAGAGGATTTAATTTGTCTATAGACTTACATTAGTTTTAACCTTTACTAATATCGTTTGAGCCATGATTAAACAGATTTTATCTTGCTGTAGAACATCGGAAATATGGAGAAATCATAGACTAATCGTTTTTCCACTGTAGCAATAATTTACTATTGACTGACGATGAGTAAATGTTCATATAGTGCGATCATGAGAATAGGATCTTTTCGCTCATTCGGATATTTATTTTGTTTAGTAAGCAACATTTTTTATTTGACTACCGATGTCACACTTGTGAAAAGAAAACGATAATATATACTGTAGCATTGAATAATGTGTGATATTTTTCTTTCTCAAAGATTATTTATCCTTTAGTGATGATGAAAAAAACAAAATAAAAACGAAGCCTAATGGTAATCTTAAGGAGAAAAATGGCGAACAACAATCGACTATCGAGACAACAACTACCAAGAAAAAAAAACGAAAACACAAGAAAACATTAGAATCCGTTTCGGAAGAAAAACAACAAGAGTCAACACCAATATCAGTAACAACTTCCACTACAGCAAAACGAAATAATAATAAAAATTCGAAAAAGAAATTCAAAACCGAGTCATCTGAACAACAAATACTATCAACAATGACTGACGATCGTTTAGAAGCCTATGGACTAAATCCAAAACGTTTTAGAAAATTTCTAAGGTTTAAAACTGGAAAATAATTAAGTGTTTTGTATTGTTAGTAGTTTTCTAATAAACATTCGGTTTTGACCATATATTTCAACGGTTAAAGTTCGGCAGGAGAATCGAATTAAAAGAAAGTCATGTATAAAGCACATGCTCACTAAGTCTCTAATAGATAGAAACTCTAAACTATTTAAATTTGGTTCTTGTCGTAACAAAAAATATGTTCATTTTTTTTTATACAAACAAAAAAACCTTCTGTGCTTAGTATCATGAATTGAAAGAGAACTGGACAGGTCTCTGTCGCATGTTTTAAACAGTACAACAGCAATCGAAACGATTGGATCAGGTTTACGTCGTTCAGTAAACTTTATATACCAGAAAAAAGAAATTGATTTGTAGTTTAACGAAAACTTCAAAAATATTCCAATTTCATTAAATTCAGTTTTCTTTTTCAGTAATATTAAGTAATGATTCATTTTTAGTTACGGGTGCGTGTAGATCAAGCATGACACATCGAAAAAATAAAGACTTTTGCAGAATCTTTCTTCTCTGTGAATAAACAACTTTTTGTTTCTCGTGTCAAATGAACTAAATCCCTCTTTATTCGATTTCAAGCCTCTCAATATTAAACAGAATACATTTTTTATTCTGTTCAAAACAAAAAAAAAGAAAGATAAAAAAAGAGAACAGTATAAGCGCAGAAAAAAAGAAAACAAAGGCAAATGTAATAATTGTTTGCTTCCCTAGATTAAATCTCGATCAATTTGTCCTAATATCATCATTTACTTATTTTTTATCTTTTGATGTTGTTCCACTTGTCGTTGTTTGCTGTTGACTACTTTGTCCTTGTTGTTTTTGTCTTTCTGTTTCTAATTTACTTTGTTCATCTTCATATTGTTTAATTAATTGTTGTAATTCTTGTTCATTTAACATTCGAATCGTTGTTTTATTCGATTTATCATCATGTTCTAGAAAAACAACAAAGAAGAAAAGACTACTATTCAAATATATATAAATTATCATCATCGCTTTGCTTGACAATACTTTTTCCATTCAACGTCAACTTTTCTACAATTTTCAATTTTCTCACTCATTGCTTTAATCTACACACATACAGATTATACCTACCTAGTACGGCAATTTCAATCTTTTCTGCGGTTAATTTTGTTGTATCTAATGTTTTACTAAATACTCTAATAGCTAAACGTAAAGCATCTTGTAGTGTTGTTTCACCAATTTTATATTCTTGTTTTAATATTGATATAGCTGTTTGTGAATTATGGCCAACACACGTTGCTTTCCATCCACCATAATTCCCACTAGGATCTGACTGATATAATTGATAACCATAATGTTTATCCCAACCCATATACAAAAATGAAACACCAAATGGACGTTTACCACCAAATTGTGTATACGCTTGTTTGATATTGCATAAACGAGATACTATATATTCAATAGGAGCCGGTTCTTGATATGTCAATAAATATCTAGTATCAATGAAGAAATAAAAAGATCTGTTTAACAAAATAGGAATCTAGACAGATAGGGAAATATCTCTTTCCGCATAAGATATCCCATGCACATTTCTTCGTCTTGTCGCGTCGATAGGAAAAAAAGAGTATGGAAAGATGCGATATTTACTAGTTCTCTAATATCAAAAGGGAAAAAACGACGCACACTCGAATAGATATTTGTTCTCAATGCTTCAAACAGAACTTCTTTAAAAATTTATTGTTTACCTTTGTCCAATCATTCGTAATTCATTAATTAATATATTAGCATCACTTGTTATACCGCTAACACTACAACACAAATCTTCGTGTATCTTATAAATTTTTTCTGAATATTTAACATCGTCTAATAATGGACTTATATTTCGTTTTTCACCACATAAAACAACACCATTTTCAGCCAGAATACCCAGTGAGGCACCGGCATGTGATATGGCTTCTAAAGCATATTCAACTTGATATAAACGACCTTCAGGAGAAAATATTGTAGCACGAGTATCATAACGACGAGCCATGTTTGTTTAGGCGATCTTATTTTGTATTATTAACTGTTAATCTAAAATAAGAAACCATTGCTTTAATGACAGTGCATTTTTTTCCACAACTCATAATCGAATATTGGTTGGCTTATTCAAAGTCCAAAGAAAAACAGAAGAACCTTCTTTATAGGAAAAAAGTTAAACATCAGTATGCACCAAAAAAAGGAAAAACAGCTGCCAATCAATTCATTCAAAAAAATAGCTTCATAGCAAAATTTAACAGCATGAATGTCCTCTAATTTGTCTTTACTTTATTTCGAATATTGATTATTGCTATTTTTTTATACTGTATCTTTCCGCAAATGACAATTAGACAATGTTCAAAAAAAAGATAGTAAGTTGACACTATTGACACATTACTTTGGTTCAAACTCGAACTTTCATCCAATGAATTTGGGTAGCTCAAAAACGAAAAGTGCACGAAATAAGCATATTTTTTTGTCTTAGTCCACGTACCATGACACAGAAAAATCGTTTTACTGTCAATATCAGCCTGATATGATCTCATGAGCTTTGGTTTGATTATTCATCGAAGAATAACCGACTAATAAAGCGCGACCTACTGATTAGTGTAAGAGAACGTGTCTTATCCACTGTTCTTTAAATATGAGAAAGTTCTTCCGAATGCTTTTGGAGCAGCAGTACATTGTTGAGGGCAGAAGAATGTCATACAGCAAATTTAGCGGCGATAGATGGCAGTGAGTGTCGAAGGATTCGATGAATTTGTCCGCATTATTAAATCGTTATTTGTTCAGATTTTATCATTTCCATTAAATAGTTAGATAACCTTAAATTTTATCGATTAACGAGCACCGTTGCTATGTATCCGTCATGTTTGCATGTATGCTTAACCAGAAATTTGTTTTTGATTCCATTGACAGACAAAAGTAATTATATGAATTCGTTTTTCGACACGGTATTTATTCTTTTGCTAACAAATTTCAACCTGTTGAAGATGAAATGAGTGTTTATTCTCGAACTCCGCACACTGTCACCCACCGCCTTTGAAAATTCTTTGATCTGAAATTAATTAAAAGTGTGCGGAGTTCGGGAAGTAACGATAAAATGGGCTGCTCATATTTTCTCTCAATAACTTCAACGTCAGATACACCTCTCTTGTTTGTCAAGAAATGCAGCCAACACAGATGAATGAAAGAGGCGAATGTAATTAATTGTAGCTTCTTAGTACTAGTATATATATGATTTGGTACGTTTTATCTACATAATCATACTAACGAGAATAACCTGTTGGATATTGACATAATTAATAGCTGATGTGCTTGAGTCTTTGTTTTAAACTTAATTTTTTTCTACTAAATGTTGATAAAAAAAAGATTATATCCTTAAAATGCAGTTTTATTTTTAGAAAAAATGTTAATTGTTTTGCTATTACAAACTACTATCAGAACAAATAAATTAAAAACTACATCTTTCATGCGACAGAAAAAACACACGCTAACTAACAAATAGTGTGCATGTTCGCGTTTCTATTGTTCAAAACGAACAATCATATTGCATATAAACAGCATATAAAAAAAAGACAATAACTATATAAATTTTGTTTTACAACCGCTTTTTCGTTACAGAAAAGCTCAAACCTTGAGCTGACCCTTGCTACGCGCGCAGTCCAAGCGATTGCTTTTCTGTAACTTTTCTCTCAACACAGTTGAGAATATATACGTCAGACATCGTCACAACAATTCGATGATTCGATCTTCAGTGGTGGTCACTCATCCACTTACTAATCGTCGTTCGCACGCTTAACCAGAGAAAAGACAAATTTATTGTCAAAATTTCTCTATGAGTCACACGAGTTTAGTGCGGTTAAAGAAAGAGAATGATTTTGATATTTTAAACTCGACTTGTTTGAACGAAATAAATTTTGTTTAGATAAAATTTATTTAGTTCAAACAAGTCACATTTAAAATATCACAACAAGTATATTATTTGATTCTATCTTATATACAAATAAATCATAAAAATTGATTAAAAAAACAAAAGAAGCGTGCCTGTACATGAGAAATGTTAGATTGAGATTCATACGAATAGCGAGAATAATTTATTTATTGTGGAACATCACCTTCACGTTTACGTTTTGGCTTTTTAGGATTACGTGAACGACTTTTTGCCTTGCATATTGGACAAATAGGTGCATTACGATGGATTTGTTGTTGACATGTTGTACATGTCTAAAAACAGAATCATAGCGTCAAGTATTATTTTACTATCAAAACACTTGTGATGAAAAATCGTCATTATATACCTTCATTGGTGGCGGTTGCTGCCGAAATGTGCGATCAGTTGTCAATTTCGTTTGAGTCTGATGTAAAGTTATTTGACCATTCAACGATCCCCCTTGATTTACAACTGTTGCAGCTTGTTGTGATTGTTGTTGTGAATGATTATTATTTGTATTAACGAATGGCACCGAAGCAATCGGTTCATGATAATCTCCAGTTAAATCAGAACGTTCTTCAACTTGTTGCTGCATTAATCTAGAAAAGCCACTATAATTTATAAAAGGTAATAAATGGATTTTCACACACATACTGCATTGTCAATATTGTTGCTTCTTCATCTTCATTATCAGGTAAACGTTCTAAACTTAACGTTTCACGTAATTTTTGAATTTGTTCACGTATCGGATGATAATCCTTAGCTAAACGTCTTGTATCTTGAATAGCACGTAGTTTTTCTTCTTCGGCTTGTTTTATTGTTGTTTCCATCTAAATTAAACAGATTTTTAAGACTAAAATAGCAATATTATGCAAAAAACTGCATACAATATTGATATCAGCATGTATAAGTCGAAGTTCTTCAATGTGTGACATTCGTTCTTGCATTAATAAATCCAGTTCCTTGCGAAAATCTCTTAATAATCGTGATTCACGTGAAAATATTTCCACATTATCTCTCAAATGAGATTGAATACGTTGAAAATGATCTTGTTTGTTTCTAAACAAACAGATAGAGATGAAAAATGCGCTCATAATTCATGTAAAAAGGATAACATACCGTAATTCTTTGATCAAGTCAAGTTTTCTTAACGATAATGTTAAATCACGTTCATCCACTTGCTTTTCACTATCAGTTCCTTCCATTTTATCAATATTTATTATAAATTAATCTAGATATATTGAAATGAGTCTAATATATCGATTTTAGTAGAATGTTACTTGTTAGAGATCAGACAATCCGCTCCCTTTTCGTCAGCATGGAACTGAGAAATCCTCTCTACTTTTTCATGGAACTAAGTTCGTTCTTCGCAAGGAAGATCGTCAATGACGCACATGAATACATGAAGGTGAGATATTATTGTATATCTGCTACATAAACTTCTATAGTTTCACAAAAGTTCATATGAAAATATACGAACATAAAAACGAAAAATTAGTAGAAACGAATTTGTTTCACGAAAAAAACTATATGTTTCTGACTAGACTTATTTACGATGAGATGCTCTAAAAATTACGAGCATACATGTTCTAGCCAAAAATAAAAACTATCTCGCTCTTATTATTGCTTCTTCCGTTTTAAAAATAGAAAAATAAATCAAAACAACAAGTCGAGAGTTATAACGTTGAAAAAGAGAGTAACAAAAACAAAGGATAAAGCAAAGTAACTTTGTAGTCAAATAAATATTAGAAAAACCTCAGGTATCACGTTTTATCAATGAATTCTCTCTATAAAATTCTTGGGTATCATTAAACTTGATAAAACATTCGGTTTGGTTAAAAGACTTTCATCATTAATTTTTGATAAAAAGTTTGTCCACGCTATTTCTTGCAAACGTAATGGTTGAGCATGGCACATAAATAAATTTGTAATACGTTTTTCTCTGGTTAATTCCTCACCAGTGTGATCATCATCGGTTAACAACACACCACCTTGTAACCAAATTTCACCACGTCGATTCATAGCAGCTGCGTGAAAATATGTTGGTATGATCATTTGTAATTCTAACTTGGACCATTCATATCTATCTAAATCAAATGACCATAGATTTTTTTCTACTAGAGTATGCCGACTCCTGTCTAGATCAAAATGTGCACCACCAAATAATAGCACACGTGTGTTACTGATTTTAAATACACTGTGAAATTTTCTATCAACAGGATAATTATGAATAGGATCCGGTGTTGTTCGACGGAGTGACCATTTATGTGTCATGAGATCGAATTCAGGGATGATTTTTAACGAAAATGAGATGCCACTTACACCGCCGCCTCCAAATAATAATATTTTATTTTCATATAATACTGCTTCTTGACGATACCTACAAAACGAAAAGAAAAGCGTGTACCAGTAAATGCTATTTTCTTATGAAAACAATCAGATTACCTTCCTGCATCAACTGGATCTTCTATTTCGTCAAATGTAGTGCCAATCTTTTTACTTTTCATTGTTGGTAAATGTATTTCGTAAACATCCGTGTTATATCTAACACTATTTGTTCCGCAGAGAATATACAAATACTCGTTTTTAATCAGCATACTTGATCCATACACTTGCTCTGGTGGTTGATCGGATAATTTAATTTTCGACCATTTTAATACATTTAAATCAAGTATATACAAATCGTTGCTAACATCTTCTCCAAATGGAAATCCTGTGCCTCCGAATACAAACATCAAATGTTGCTGATACAGACAGACGGCATGTGAGGCTAATGTCAGTGTAGGACCATCGCCTGTTGTTTTTTCGCAAGTCCATCGTTTTAATGCAAAATTAAACCTCCATAACTCTCGAAACATAGACGATTCTGCTTGCGGCAGATCTTGTGGAGCACGAGGAAAATACCCACCCCATATCCATAAATCGGAATCCGTAGCAACAGCGCGATGTCCGCTTCGAGGAGATGGTTTCGATTGTTTTTCGTTTGCTGGATGGATCTCAACAAATTCCATTAAATTTTTCGATCGAGTTACTCGACAATTACAATAATCACTAGTTGAACAAAGCATCCTTTGACGTAGAATATCACTTGTTGCCTCACCCATTTATACAATCTAAAGAAATTGCAAAAAGAAAGAACACATATTTCTATTCCTCAAAAACACACACAATATTATTCTACTCAAGGAAGATATATAGTCTGTAAAAATCAAGAATCCTACACTCTGTCTATCATCTTCAATTTAAAATATCATTCATAATTAACAGCTGACAAACAAAATCTTGAGACTCTAAACCGCAGGTTGTTTTTATTTAGCTTAAACAATCATGTGAATCGTTTCCGCTTAAAATCAAAAAGAGTAAAAGAAAGTTGGACAAAACACATAATGACTAGATAAAATCGTCACGTTGAAAACTACAATTCAAAGTTGTGAAATATTTTTCTTGGTTATCGATTAATAATCACGCCCAAAGAAAAACCTTAAAAACAATTCATGCAAGAATAAATATGAAGTTGATTATATATTATAGCTATTTCATAATATACAATGATAAAAACGTAGAAAAATTGACAGCTATAACTGTCCTCTCATATATGAGAGGAAGTATAGATTCAGATAGCATGAGTCATTAACCAGTAGCGAAGCACCATGAGTTTTCTTCAGTGACCAATCTTTTATGTACATGATCATTTCAAACTTATCGTTGCATGTTCAGAACAATCCAAAGACTCGTTTTTAAATTTTTAAAGTCTTGTTTAACATCCAGGGTGACATCTATCATACGTGATGGAGGCTTTCAGGCTGTCTTCAATGACTGTGCTCTTTCTTTGTGTCAACGATCATTGGTTAAACCATAACTACGTTTAGAACTACAACGAGAATTTTTTAGCTGTAGGCAACAAATTTGTTCTTGATATAGTGAAAGCGTTGATCCAGTTTATCTTGGAAAATTGCACATTTTTGTTACAGACAGTATTTGATGTAAACGATAAAAAATTAACTGAATTTTCCTATGCAATATGAGTTCAGTAGAAAGTTTTTAGCTTCTCCAATAGTATTGAAATTCAGATAGCTTTCCCATCTAGAAAATAATGTTTCTACAACTCTTTTTCTTAGATTTGTCTAGTCTAATTGATAGATACGTGGTACTTTAGAAGGAAACAATTTAAAAATATTAATCACTCTCAAATAAATGGAAAAATATTAGTACATTGTCCATTGATGAAGTGAACTATCCGCTTTTTACTCACAATTTCTATTGTAAAAATAAGTAGTTAATTAGCATATTTAAGTCAAATAATTTGTCATTTATTTAATGAGTAAAATTCATGCTTATCATAGTTTATAGAATTGTATAACTGCACGCTATCTTCGCACCTTTTTCTCTATTCTTTTTTTTTTATGAAAGACAACATTTGTTCCAATCTAACAAATTTAGCCGAGCTTCAGTGAAAAAGGATTTTTTGCTAGCATCATGATAAATGTGCATGAATCAAGAACGAAAGACTTTTCAAGCGAGCACACAAACGTTTTTTTTTGTTTATGCTGAATGTTGTCAAATCCGAGGACAACAAGATAAGATTTTATTTTACTCAAGCTCAGGATATCACAAAAAAGAACAAAAGACTTGTGACATCCGTGGATACTCTGTGATAGCCTAAATAAGCGAAATATCCTCTTTGAGATGTTATTGTTTTTGTTGATATCCGAATAACAGTGCCAGTTCAATTTTCCAGTATTTTTATTTTTTAAAAAATGTCGCATTCAGAAAAAAAACTGTAGAAAAATCAAAAATAGGACAAGTTATTGAGACGAAAAAAAATCAATTTTTCTATAAAATTTTGTTGAACATTCTCAAAAAAAAACAACGAAAAAGAATTTAACAATCTTTTTCTACATGGAATACCAACCTGAAGATTCTCGATGTTGACGCTACATATGTATTTGAATGACATTTCACAACTTGATTTTTGAAAATTACGATGGCATACCTTCTAGTTTAAACACTAGTAGCGTTTATTTTTTAACAATAAAACAATTTTTGCAGAATAAAACAAAAACATAAATGGACAAAAACCTAAAAAATATGCCATCAGAAATAACTATAATTACATACATTAGTGAAGTTGGTATTCCATTTACATAAGTTGACATTTTTAATGTCACAACAAAGTAACTCAAAATGTTTGTCATCGCATGAGAAAAAAAAGTAATGGTCATATAAAAAAAAATGGTTGACTAGTTAGTGTGTGTGTGTGTCTTAGACTGTATTTAAAACTGAGTTTGGGACTTTTTATTTTGATATCTGAATGTAAAAATATCACTTTTGCTTAAATTCTTAAGGAATTTTAGCTTTCTGATGACATGACATATGGGTACGTGTTTGTGTGTCTATTTATATATATACATACGTGTATTGTGCCTCTTTTAAGTAATTATTACTTCTTTGGTTACTCATTCGTGATTGAATATCGGAAACTTGTTGATGGTTGTTATGCCCTTAGGAATTAATATTCCACTGTTGTTTCTGTTCCATCGTATAACGGGCTTGATCATTTAATTTATTGGTTATTTTTGGTATATTTGACTTGTTGACTGTGAAAAGTATCGAAATTAGGTAAGACATGTGGAATTCTAGATTGTGGTTGTTGAACAAAAGTTGACTGAGACTGCTGCGGATATTGAGATTGTAATGGGATTTAAGCATGAGGATATGGCAAGGGTGCAGAAACGGACTGTTAAAACATCTTGGAAGTAGACGGTTGAATTTCACGATATGTTAGATTACTAAGAGAAATAAAATCGTTAAAACACTATTGAACAATAAATGGTGTTTTCTATTTACCTTGTATATAGATGGAACACGTTGTGGAAGCAGAACTAGATGGATTGGTTTCTACACATCATATTTGTCCCGAATCATCAACACGTACGTTAATTATTCCTAAAACACTCATGTTCATGTCATTAATAATTCTGTAACGACCATCATTTGGATTTATCGGATTTGCATAATGATACAACTGGATGTCAGGTTGTGGGTGGCCATTAAAATAAACTCTTAGTTATATAATCTCATCTTCCCTTACACACACTGGCTCTAACAGCTATAAAAGTGACAACACAGAAAAATTAGTTAACAATTTTGAAAAACAGGCATAGATAGGTATGATGCATGCAAATTTTCAGTGCATCTGTGATCCTTCTTTGGACAAAACATCTTTCCTTTTAATAACCCGATGACCGTAAAATAAAATCTTGAAGAACTGTTTCTAATGACTTTCGTCTTACAACACAGAACAAATAAATTCATGCTATCTTATTTGACATGATAGATTTACGAACAAATCGAGACAAATCGTATGCTTGAACATGCATCGTGACAAGGTGGTTAAGAATGCAACAAAATAGACAATTGGCGATCTTCCGCAGTTCAGAAGACTATGAAACTACTAAAAATATTCAATTTTTTTGCCTCTTCAGCGTCTCACTAGTGAAGGTTTTCAAGTATTAAATCACTTTTTTGCCACAATACATATTCATGCATCCTTTTTGATGGAGATCATTACTCTGATAACTGGCGAAGGTAACACTGGTACTTAAAAAGGTACAAATGGGTTTCTAGAAATCTCAGTTTTATGCGATGATTTACGGAATGCTTGAGAGTCAGGTAGTGTTCCCCATCAAAAATTTTACATGAATTTGTGTTGCAGCAAAAACACTTGAAAGCATTCTCTCACCGGATAACTTTTTAGCGAAACTTCTCAAAAGAGATATAAAGCTGTCGTAACTGACTTTGCAAGATCAAACAACATCAGAGAGAACATGCAAAACTGAGTTGATTTGCAAAAAAAAGTATCTCTTTTGAGACGTAGCCCTTTTTAGCTGAGTTTGTACTGAAAGATGCAGCATATAGACGTAACTCATGCAATAAGCACAATATAGCATTAAAAAAATAATTTATAATTCTAATAATAAACATACCTTCTTTTTCTCGATGCGATGTGTATATTGAATTACATTTGCTCACGTACCGTTGTAAATTTCGGTGTATAAGATGGTGATGTAGGATGTTCAGCAGAAGAAGCAGTGTCATATGCTGACTGCTGATGTTGACTCGATGATGCACGAATTGGCTCACGTAATTGCTGTGCAGGCATTGGCGTTTTTTGTGAGAGACTAGTAGTAGTGGTTTGTTGTCGTTGGTCATAAGAAGAGGGACCAGACTGTGTGCCCATAGGCGCATATAAATTTTGTTGTGCTTCAAATGGTGATTGTTGTGGTATAATTCCAGCAGTTGGTCGCTGTTGTCTTCTAGCACCAAATTTTTTAAATGGATCAGGACCCATAAATGGATTTTCGGGTGGTGCAACATTTTCTTGATTTGGTTCGATTCTCTGTGGTTGGCGACTACCGCCTACAGTGTCAGTTCTTTTAAATTCTTTCGATTCATTTTGCCCATAATGTGTCGCAGCTGATGCTTGTCCATAGAAATGTTGTTGTTGTTGCTGTTGTTGTTGATTGTCAAGATTAATTTGAAATGTAACTGGTTGATATTGTGGTTGATCGCCAGTTATATTACGGACAATTTGATTTTGCTCATAACGTTGTGTTACATTTGGCTGATTTGGCAATATTTCTATCACACTTGTTTCTTCTTCCACTCGCGTAACAGTCGTTGGCTCAGGCTGTTGTGAATAGATATGATATTGAGAGGCTGACAGTGTTTGATAACTGGGAACACTAGTTTGATACTCGAAACTTGTTTCATTCACAACATTTCTTGTTGGAGATTGCTCGCCAGACGCTATAAAATACGTTAATTAGTATAAATTGCTAAGATATCTTTAGAAAAAATTACTTACATTCAACTTGTAAACGAGCTGTCGATCTTACTGTACCAGAAATATTACGAGCTGTACATGAATAACTACCAGCATCATCCAGAAATGCTTCGGGTATGTACAGTGTTGCTCTACCATCACCGTAATAATCAATACGAAACGACGACTCATCACCAATCAATTCACCATCTTTATCCCACAGTATCTCAGCTAATGGTTGAGCTGAAATAGTACATAGAATAAAATAATAGTGATGGAGGGCAAGAGCGGTTAGAACCTTTGTACGTATATGTATAAAACTCCATTTTCTGATTTGCCACTCAAAATTGGAACAGAATTGTTCTGAGTGACATAGTCAACAGTTGAAAATAGGTTTCCTACCTGAAATCATAACTTCGAATAATATTGGCTCTCCTTCTTTAACTGAATAATCACGCAATGACACGACAAAATATGGTGCATGATCTTGGCCATCAATAACCGATGTATCATAAGATGTTGTCGTCGTTCGTTTTGTTGACGATGTCATTTCTCCTCTCGCTCCGTATTGATCGATTTCTGTCGCACTACCACCACCACTAACAACAAATTCTACAGGTTCATAATATTTTGGCTCAATTTCCGTAATAAATGTTGAACTATTATCCGTTGTCATTAAACCACCACCGCTGCTACTTTCGGCTAACATCCGTGAGCTATATTCGCGTGATGCATCAAATTGTCGTCGTTCGTCATAGGACATATGACGCGATTTTTTTGCCTCATTTTCATCAACATCCAGTATTAGTTGCATAGGTTTATTTAAATCGGCATATAATGTTGATGAACTTTCTCTCACATAACCGCTTTGCTGTAATGCTGGAGCTGTTCCTAAAACATACATTTCTTTTGTTTTTTTTCGTGCATCATCTAATTTTGTTACAACTGTATGTGAACTATGCTGACGTTTTAGAATTAATTCAACCGGTTCTGGTTCACTAGCAGTTGTATCTTCAAGTATCAATTGACTCGTTGATTTTTTAACGAGTGGTTGAGGAGCTATTATTAATTGTGTATCTAATGATGGTTTAATGTCGGCTAATACAATCGATGTACTCTCTTGTACTCGTGGACGTGGTAATATCAACTCAACCGGTTCATGTTCATCTTTATTTTTCAATGTATCAAGAACAAAAGTGGTTGAGCTATCTTCTTGTTTTTCATGTTTGCCCAACATTTGAACGTGTCTAGTATCTAACGTTGCTTTGACATGTGCTAGAACGGTTGTTGAACTATCTTGAATTTCTGGCTGTTTTAAGCGAATTTCAACAGCTTCAGGTACTTCTTGAATGTTTTTATCGAAATAAAATGTTGACGTGCTTGTTTCGGGTATAACTTCGGTAGCTCGCATCGATTTTGTTTCTAATTTTGCATACACATCGGCGACGACAGTTGTTGAACTACTTTCAATTTTAGGCTTGGGGAAAATTAAATCGACAGGCTCATCCGGGGTTGAGCGTTGTTCCAGAAAGAGGCTAGACGAACTTTCTGGTTGTGGTACGTTAATTGTCGTTTTCATACCCGCTAGTGTTGGGGCAACTTGTGCGACGACAGTAGTCGATGATTTTTCAACATCGAATTTCGGTATGATTAAATCAAATGGTGCATGTTCTTGTTGTCTGGCTAAATCCATGACAATTGCTGTTGATGAATCTTCTTGTTGTAGACTGGATGCAATTAATCTACCTTGGACACCCAATTCGGGTTGAATATTTGCTATCAATACACTTGAACTATCTTGAATACGTGGTTTAGCAATTCTCAATTCCATAGTTTCTTCTTCTTCTTCTTCTCTTTTCACTTGCATTGTTAACGACGAACTACTTTCAATCGTTTGTAATTGATCGAGGGCACCCGTCGAACGTATTGATTTTAACTCGAGTCCCGATTGTATATTGGCTAGAACTTTACTTGAACTATCCTTTATTTTTGGTTTCTCTAATATAACTTCCATCTCATCGTATTGTTCTTCTTGTTTACTTAAATCCATTGTCAACTTGACTGAACTGTCTTCTTGTTGAATTATTTGTGTTGGACGTATGTGCGTTACTTGTGCCGGTCCTTGAATATCAGCAATCACTTTCGATACGCTCGGTTGTATTTTTGGTCTATCAATAACTAAATCGACTGGTTCAAATTTTGCTCGAGCACGTCGAACATATGTCGTCGAATGCTCACCGGCACTTGTATGTCCAGCATCCTCCGTTTCTTGCATGTACAAACGTCTTTTGACATCCATATTTTCATCAAAATATTCTTCGCCATAGTCACTCGATCGTCCAGTGCTACTACTTATTCTTCTACTACGTCCAAATTGTCGATCACCACCAATCGACTTGACAACGGTTGTTGAATGTTCCTCAATATGCGTGATTCCACTGACTGGTTTCGGTACAATGAATTCGACTTCGCTTTCTGTAGCAGCCCTTTCTGATTTTGACTCAATAACGGTCAATAAATGTTCGCCAGGTATTTCACGATATTGATTATCCACAGTGATATTTCTCGCTTGTACTTGTTTAATTAATGTCGATTGATGTTCAGCTTCAGGCTGCTGTTTAGGAAAGACGACTTGTAACTCGCCCATAGCCTCTACTGGTTGATCAATAATTTTCATTTCATGTTCTCCTGGTAAAGGTTTCGATGGACCAAGAGAGTAAATTTGTGGTTTACCTCGTTGCTCTTTAACAACCGTAGTGCTGTGTTCAGCTTGTGACACTGGTTTGGCCACTAATAATTGCATTTCATCCGCTCGCGTTTCAATTGCTTCTTCAATTATTTTTGTTTCATGCTCGCCATAAATAGGCTGTCGTGGTGTTACTTCAATAATGGGACCTCTACCGCGACTATGTCTAACGATCGTTGCACTATGTTCAGCTTGTTCAACGTGCTGTTTCGGTAACAATAATTCTAGAGCTTCTTCCACCCGTACACTATCTCTAACATATCTTAAATCATGTTCTGCTTCCATTGTTCGGCCACTACCGGTGACTTCTAATACTTGACGTTTTGGATGAGTTTCTGTGACTATTGTTGATTGATGTTCACCAGTATCCATTATCGATTTTGGTACGACAAGTTCAACACTGCCGGCAACACCTTTACCAACTAAATGATCGATGTACTTTAATTCATGTTCACCTTTAATTACTGTTTGCATATTATCAACGAAAACGGCTGATGGTTGAGTTTTTGTATGTTTAACAACAGTCGATGAATGCACTGGTTGAGTGGGAGGTTTAGGAAATAAAATTTCTACCGGTTTATGTTGCGAACTGACTGGTTGTGAGACATAACGTAATTCATGTTCACCTGGCATGACAATATTTTCACGATACATTGAAGAACTAATATCGAGTGCCTGATATTTGCCACCTTTTTTTGATTCAACAACCACGGTACTCGAATGTTCGGCAGATGGTAATGGCTTTGGTATAGTGAATTCAACAGTTCGTGGCTGGCCAGCTGTAATAGGTTCTTTAATTACTTTTGTTTCATGTTCACCTTCAATTTCAGTTGTTCTCTGTACTAAACATTGTCTTGATTCAGATCGACGTCGTTGTACTTCCTTGATGATCGTACTCGAATGTTCACCTTGGTTTGTTATTAAAACAGGTTTGGGAAAAATGAGTTGGACAGCTTGAGGTTCAGTGCGCACATATTTCACTTCTGTTTCACCTGGTATGGAGCTTGTCGAGGCAATACGTATCGGCTTTAAACGTTCCTTTGTTCGACTTTGATGTAAACGTCGTCGTTCACGTTGTTCAAAATCATCTTCACTTGTCGTGGCAAAACCGGCTTCGCTCGTTGTCGCCGATGTTGATACGTATTGATGGGCAGTGGGTATTAAACGACGATATAGGACTTCTTCGGAATATGAACGACTTTGTTGAGATATACGTTGATGTTGTTGTTGCTGTTGTTCATTGTAATAATGTCGACTAATTGTTGGTTGTACAATAAAATTATCCTGAAATTGTTGTTGAGATATACGTTGTTGTTGTTGTTGTTGTTGATGCTGTTGTTCATTCGAATAATGTTGACTAACTGTTGGTTGTACAATAAAATTATCCTGAAATTGTTGATGAGATATACGTTGTTGTTGTTGTTGTTGATGCTGTTGTTCATTGGAATAATACTGACTAACTGTTGGTTGTACAATAAAATTATCCTGAATTTGCTGTTGAGATATACGTTGTTGTTGTTGTTGATGCTGTTGTTCATTGGAATAATGTTGACTAACTGTTGGTTGTACAATAAAATTATCCTGAAATTGTTGTTGAAATTGGTGATAATTTTGATTTGAGGCAGTCATTGTGCCCGTTTCGGCTGTTATAACAGCCGGTTTTGATGATGACATTCGATATGTAGAACGCTGCATAGTTTCATCGACTTTTGGAGCAGCTTGCGGTAGCTGGTAGGTCTCTTCGACACTTTCATATTCTTCTTCCTCTTCGACTGTTGTCTTTTTACCTGTACCGCGATTAATGGTTGTATAAGTCTTTTTTGTTTTTGTTGAACCATCACCACTACCCATCGCTTTTTTTTTCTTTGATTGCTCATACTCATTGGCTAATTCATGTATTGTACGAAAGTATTGGTCAGAATCGGAATAATCATGTTGATCACTTGTTGCCGTTGAGTAATCATAGGTGGTAGCACTTCGTTTTTGACCGTGTTGTTGTTGTCTCTCTGTTTCATGATAATGTTTTTTATTTTCGTATGTTTGTTGTTTATCTAAAACATCATAGGGTATAACTAGTTCAATTGATGGATATCGTTGAAGATAGTCTTTTGTTGTTGCTGTTGATGATCGTCGACTTTCACCTTGTGATAGTGATCGAGCTCTTTGTTGATTTTGTTGTTCTTCGATAGATCGCACGATATAGCCAAGTGGACGATAGCGTTTATTAAATGACTGATGTACAATTTCACTATAATCTTCGAGAGCACGAGTTGATACCTGAGTATGTTGTCTATCTGCCAATAAATCATCATATATTCTTCCTTGTCGTGTATTATCAGAAAATGTTGTATGCTCTTTTAAATGTTGTTCAGTGAGAAAATCTTGATCAACTGTTGCACGACGTTTTCGTGACATGTCTTGTTGTTCTTCACTTCCTTGAAAGAAATTTTAGATTTTTTAAAACTAGTTTTTGATTTGCATCATCATTTGTGTGCCTGAACAACTGATTGATTGATTGTGGTACAAGAGAGTACATTGATCCATAAATTGATGAGAGAGAGAGTGAGATACACAATTAAGATAAAGCATTAAGCAACATATTTTTCTGTAACATGCACATGCAACATACATTAACGACGCATAATGTTTTTAACCACGGCTACTGATAATTATTGCTACTGATGTATTATTTTAAATTTATTTTTGAGAGACGCATACGCGCTCACATACACACGTGCCTCGTATGTACATCCTGCTAAAATGACATTGACGGATAAGCTTGTACATTTTGGAACAAGAGAGAGAGAGAGACAAAGAAAGTGTAAATACGCCTATGTATTGCTCCCTATATTATTGTACTTTTCCTTTCTGACAGCATCATGAAGTCTAATATGATATTTCTCTTTTAAGAAGGAAATAAGGTAACAAAATATTGTAGAAGACAAAAAATTATTCGCAAATCATCCTCATCATTGTACATGATCTGTCTGTATAATGATAGAGTATAATATTCTTTTTTTCTTCTAAAATCAATCATCATATGTTAGCTGAAAATATAGTCGACCATATTTTATTTATTATTATTCTAGTGAGCACAATAGTCTTTATTTTTCTTTCTCTCTCTAATGATCTGTTAAACATAATTTGAGAATAATAGCCATAAACACTTCTTAACAATACTAGTCAATTCTCCTTTTCAAAATTTTTCAGAAATGGTGACATAGTTTGCAGATAACTCTTCCAGATAACACTGAACATGAACCGGTTGAATTGATATCACCAAAACTTATTCTTTAAAAATCTAAACAGTTCAAACAGAATCAATATATTGAGAGGATGAATTTGTGTTTTTCATAACAGCATTACTGTGATATATGTATAATTGAGCGCAAAGCTGAATAAATATGAAATTTTCCCCCATAAAAATGTCGAATAATGATTCTATCAAAATTATATAGAAATAATAATTTTAATTAACTGAGCCTTAAAGTTAATTTTAAAGCATAGCATACGGTGTGCCGTACTGGTATAAGTATGATCGAAAGCGTGCAGTAACAAACATAACATTGCGGCGGCAAAATAAAAATGTTTACTGTCTCTCTTCATCAATCACATAGGTAATTACCGAACGATTTTGGTTTTTTCTTTTGTTAATTCAGTTGTTCAGACAATCTGCTGTTGATGATGATAATGATGACTCTATTTTATCTTGTATTTATATTGGAGTAAAAGACAAATGGAGGAAAATTCATGCTCGGTGATTAAAATAATAAACAATTGGCTGCTTAGCAATAAGAGGTATAATGCACGAATGCTCAAATATATGTGCGTGTGTATGTATATGAGTATCGTGCGAATTGTACTGTTGTACCTATGCGTGATAAATTTTTACGAAGAAGCAACAGAAGCATTTAGGATTCTCATTCCATTCGTCAGCAGAATAACTGTTAATCAACGGATGAACTAACAGTAGTCTATTTTATAAGCTCTGTTTGTATATATAACTAAGATAACACTTACGAATAAATAATTCAGCTGTACAAGTCGCTTTTCCAAGTGAATTTTCGGCAATTAACGAAAATCTTCCTGCATCTTCTTGTCGAACATCATAAACAGTTAATGTGTAAGTATTATTGATTACTTTTTGTTGATAACGTGTCGTATAGATAGGCAATCCATTGAATAACCATGTAACCTATTTTTAAGAACATAAAATTTAAACTGCTTGATTCTCTTAAACAATAGAATGAAACATACATTTGGTTTGGGATTGCCAATAACAGTTGCTTCAAAAGTGATGCTACTATTTAATTTTGTTTCTGTATCTGTGAATAGCTGGAGAAACTCAGGTGGTGTTCCTTGTTGTTCACTAGTACCAATTTGTTGCACACCGATGTTTGTTGTTCTCGTTGATGATGATTGAAATGGTGATTGTTGATGATGCGATGTGGGTAAAATATTTAATGATGCAAAACTTTTTGCTTCTCCCTCAGTATTAATTGCTTTAACTGAATAAATACCAGCATCATCTAAAAATAATTCCGGTATTTCTAGTGTGTAAATATCGTCTTGATTTCGAATCTACAATATAATGTATATATATATGTATAGAATAAAACGTAAAACAGAACATTGAATGAATACAACATACTTTATGATCATGTGTATTTCGTAACGGTTGATTATCTTTATACCAGAAGACTTGTGGTTTTGGTTGTCCCGTTAATCTTACGGACATGATAATTTTTTCACCTTCTGTAAATATTTGATCTTTTAATAATTCTGTAAATACGGGTAATGAACGAGCAGATAATAAACGAGTTTCACGAAAACTATCGTGTGCTGCTAAAAGAAATAACAATATTTTATATTAATAAATTCGTCATAGAACAAATACGATACGATACATACATGTAATTGTTACTTTACACGATGATTCAGCTTGTCCAGATGAGTTAACAGCATTTATTCGATATGAACCAATATCGTCGAGTGAACAACGATCTTTATATAATGTACATAATTGTCCATCAAATTTTAATGTAACATCTCTTGAATCTTTTAGTGGTATATCGTTATGATACCAGATAATCTAAAACATCATTGTATTGGTTAATATAAGATAAACTGTATTATTCAATAATGTACAAACCTCTGGTTCTGGTTGTGCGTTAATTGCTGCGTGAAGTTTTAACTTTTGTCCTTCGCTAACAATAATATCTCTTAATGGTTGGACAAATATTGGCTTACTTGGTGTATCAGAAAGATCAGAATCCCTTAAAAAAATGACAATATTTTCTTATATTATTTCTTTTGTATGACACACGTAGATAGTTACTTACGGTGTACGTGCAAAATATTCTTCGACAACTAGTTTTGTATATGATCGTGCTTCTCCAAGTGAATTACGAATAACAATTGTATACGAGCCGGTATCTTCTGGAAAACCTTCTTTTATTATCAATGCCGAATAATCAACTTCTCGTACAACCTATGTTTGTTATTACATACATTTTGATGAAGCAAGAAATATTAGAGAGAGAGACAGAGAGGGAGAGAGAGAAAAAGACAGGCTAATGAAAGTATTTTAATAGATTATATAGAGATATGCTAAGGACGACACTTCTATTAATATTATTCTCTGCTGCTTATATAGGCGAGAGAAATAAAAGTATATACATCTATTAGCCATGTCTACAGTTTAGACAGGTGGGAGGGAGCGAAAGAGAAACAGTAAGAAAAGAACTATTAACGAGAACAACAGTAAGTAAGTTAGACGTGCGAATATGTATGTTTACATACGGTAAAATCTCTTGATATTCCAATGGATGCAAAATCAATTGGTATACCATCTTTTAACCATTGAATATCGGCTCGTGGATAAGCATCAAAACGACATGAAATTTTCACTGGTTGACCTTAGATTATTAAAATTTTCAAGTTAAAATATATTTTTTGAACACTAAACGATAAATAGAAATAAATTACCTTCACGTATTATGTAAGTTGGTTTCAATGGTTCAGTTAAGCGGGGTTCATGACTGATCATTGTTGTCTCTTCTATAATCGAGAGAAAAGTACATTTATTAATTTATAAGATTCTTAGTCAGAATTAACGTTACTGAGGAGAAAAACACATTAGATCAAAAACTATATAACCAAATTCGAAGAATCAATTAAAGTCCTTTCTTCACAATGTCCAATTTCTAAGTCATTTTTGTTATTAATAAATTTAGAAAGTTCTACATTCCTGTATTACTCACTTAATTTTGCTTATTTAAATAATAGCCATTGATATAGGATGAATTACAAGGTTTTTTCTTTGTATAACATGGTTAATTAATGAACATAGGAGAGAATCAAGAATGATAATCACCTTATGTTGTTTATTGCTTTTTATTGAAGACAAGGGTCTCAAAAGAATAATAATTTAATCGTGACACTTGGCTTAGACATCGATACAACATAGATGGGTATGAAAACAAAAGATCAAACAGAAATTATCTTCACTTTTTCTTTTCCTCTGTATACAGATGTTTGATGGATGTACACATACACATAAATATTATTAATATGGACGGGAACAAAAGTTGCCTATACATTCATTTGTCTTTTTATCCAAAAAATATATATATTTCCATGTATATACATATTTTTTTTTTTTGAAGGGCAAAGTATAGGAATATTTACAAGAACGGAAAGGAACAACAACAACTATTTACATTTTCAGTTACTTCGGTTTCTCTCTTCTCTATTATCTAGAAGAAGAATATCAACATCGACCGAAAGTCAACGTGGGTTATCTGTCATCACATTTGCTGTTAAAATTGCGGTTTTCTTTAACGACTTTTTATTGATCAACATTAAATGATACTCTTAGCTTATAACCTAAAAAATTTTTTGTAATTTAATGAAAACACGCATTCATCAAACATTATGTTTTATCATTTTGTCTGTATTACTCTTCGTATTTTCACTAATGCAATACTAATGAAACTAGACAGTCGTCTATCTTTTTCCTTTTGTTGTGTTATGCGCAAACTTAGTATTAAGTAATATAATATTTTTTCTAATACTTCCAATGCATGTATCAACACGAATGTTTATCATTCATTCAAGGTTCTATCACATATATAAAAGATAGCTTGACATACCGTATATTCTTAAATTTGCCACGGATGTTGCTTCACCGCCCGAATTTGTTGCTTTACATAAATATTTTCCCGAATTAAATGTTTGAACATCACGTATTGTTAATCGATGAAGATTATTTTGTCTTGTTATCGTATGTTGATTGTCATCTTGTAAATGAATACCATCGCGTTCCCAAGTAACAGTGGGTGATGGTTCAGCTTGTATAACACATTCAAATGTAACAAATTGACCGAATGAAGTATCGATCGTTCGTAATGGTTCAACAAATGTAGGGCCACGAACATTTTTATCAGGATTTTCTAAACACAATTGATACCTATAGAATATTTGGTGATAAACATGTTCATTAACACCAGAATGTCAGATATATGTAATAGAAATATTTTATACAACTTCGTAGTTATTGTCACAAATGAAACGAACTATGAATAGTATTCAACAAAAATTGATTTTTCATTTATCTTTCTTAAAATTCATTAAAACTAGCCAAAAAATCGATAAAAACAATAATAAAACTCTTCAAAAACAGATTTAATCTTAATAGTTCTCTCAACATTCTCAGATGCTAAAAAGCAATTTTTTTTTTGTTTTTACCTTTGACAATTAAATATGATGAACTTTCTGTTGTTCCAGCTGTGTTGGTTGCTCTACATGTGTAATATGATGAATCTTCACGTTTAACATCAACAAATGTTAATGTAGCAAGACCCCGATCATATTTTATGTCATGAGTTATATTAGACAAGAATAATTGATCTTTTAACCATGTTATATTAATTGGTTCACTTCCATCAACTATGCATTCAAAGGTGAATCTAAACTAAGTCAACAGTTGTACTTAAGTATAATATAGTATAGTGACAAACCTTGTTCCTTCAGTGATGGTTGCATCACGTAATGGCTTTACAAATGATGGTGGTTCTAATCGACGTTGTTTTATAACAGGACTGCTCTCAACAAACAATTCTTTTCGATGCTCAAAATTTCGTTGAACAGTTGATATATCTTGATGAATTTTGATGAATGCATTTATTAATTCAATATTACGAGAGGATACATGTTTAATACGATGTTGACCTTCATCAGGACCTAAAATATTGCTATTATCATGTAGAGTAGCATAAATAATGCAGTAAACACCTACCAAATACTTGTATAGCTAATTCGGTAATATATTTCATTGTTTCACGTTCATACTCTTTTCCTTTGTCAATCGCTGATGAAACTTTATTTAATAATTCCTGAGTTTCCACTTCTGTCTGACATCTCAGTGTCTCTTGACCAATACGTACCAATAATTGACTCGAATCTTGATGCCAACGTTCAACCTATATATGTAAGAATGAGTTAAAAAACATATAATTCAAGATAAAAACTCTTTTACCTCATCAATTAATTTATAATAGGATGTTGCCTTTTCTACAATATGCCGATAATCAGCCACTGATATATGTAATACGGATGATTTCTTTTCAACATCTTTCACTTCTGATTGTATCAATTCATATTCAGGATGTTTTTGTTGCAACATAAATTCAGCTGTTGTACGAAAACGTCGAACCGCTCGTTCACAACTCTATAAAGATTTTACTATGTTCTATTAGATTCCTGGTAACATATTATTTATCTTATTCAACACACCTCATAACGTCGTTCAGTTTCATGAAATGTTTCATTTCGGATAAGTGCTTCTTTCAAACTTTGCGGTTTATCACGTCGTTTTTGATCAATTTCTTGTTGAAGCGTATCAATTTCATAAACAGTCTATAAATAACGAGCTAAAATAGTTTGTTAACAAGATGGAACTATTGATTACTTTGTATTTTTCATCTAAAAATTGACACCATTCAACCCGTTGTTTCAATTTAACACCTCGGTCATCCCAACGTCTTTGCCAATTAACATATTTTTGTTCAGTTTCATTTTGTGTTGATCGAATTTCATTAACAAATGATGAGAGACCACCCTAGGTAGAGCATATTAATAGTCTTATGAAGGAAATATAATTGTTTCCTCACCTGTCTTGCTTTAACGTCGACAAGTTCCGCTTCTTGTCGACATTGCTCATACCATTGTGTTAATTTGTCTCGATCTGTTTCATGTTGACGTATCATTACTTCTGTACTACGAACATCTGATGGTAAATCGATCATTGTATATTGTTTCTCCGAACTATTAATGAACTGATCAACTTTTTCCGTATTTTTATAAAAGTTCACCATTGTATGTAAAACAGTTCGAGATTGATTAACACGTGTCAAATAATTTTGATGTGCTTTAACTAATTCATTAACAATTTGTTCCTTTTGTCCTTTGGTATCACCTCTCATACCCAAAAGTTCAGCTGTTTTCAAACGTTCTTCAACTTCACGAGTTGTCTCCTAAACACATTATCTAAAGTTAATTGAATATTACGAACAAATTGACTATTTTACTTGAACACGAATTGAAAAATCACTTAGTGAATGTTGATATTTTTCAACCAATGAATGACGATCTGTAATTATACCTCGTGATGTTTCGGGAATAAAATCTAATTCAAATCGATGTACTTTATCGATTGTCTAAAACAAAGCAATATTTACATTTTGAGACAATAAGATGTAATGCCTTCTCACATTTCGTGCATCCTGTATGAATTGGTGCCATTGTGTTTTAAAGTCTCTCAATTGTGATAATTTGTGTAACCAACCATCAAAACTATTTGATATTTGTTCAAATTTTCGTGTTGCTTGCTCAGACTGATCAATAATTGAACGATATGATTCATTTGGTTGAATAGCGAGGATTTCTGATTCCTATAAAGGAATAGATATGCAGTTACGAACAAAATTCGAGAATATACACATTGTCTAGCGAAATTAAAAAAATAGACTACAGTCAGTATGTAACATCCAATGCACTGCCGTCTTAGCGTTAAGTGAGCTACTTAAATAACATTTTAATCACCTCATATGGCCGACTTTAAGAAAAGCACATGGTTGGATAGTGCCTACTTTCTAATGGCATAATTTTTGTGTCAACAGAATAGGTTTTTCATAGGTTTTGAGCGAGTTTTCCAGAAGCCCCATAGCGAAAAACATGGCTTTTGTGCATTTGTATTGCATAAGCGTAGGCACGTGTCGCACATGTCCGCGCACATGTTCATTAGATCCGCTATGGCCGATAACCTATAGCAAAATATCAACAAATTATATAACGCTCAACGAGTTTTTAAGAAAAATGCATTTAACAGAATCAAAACTTATTTTGCGTTTTTCTTAAGACTGCGGTTTGGCTTCAGGGCTTCGGCCGCGTGCAGGAATTCTCGGTAACGGTACATCGGAGAAGAAAATTTTTTTTGATTTGTAGATAACGCCTATAAGTAGGAGACCGTTTTTCAATTATGCTTCTGTTTTTTATAGAAATGAGGATTTCTAAGAAACCTTCCAAGGATTTTTCGGACTTTAAAGTTCTATTAAACACCAGAAATCAGTAAATGAGAAATTCAAAAATCGGGCTCTGTCAACTCCTAGCCATAGGTATTTACTATAAAACAAAAACAGCCCGAGCTCTCTATCATTTACCTGAAATGAAAATTCTTGCACGTGGTAGACGCCTAATTATGGGCCTTTTTGTGGCGCCATAGGGAAAGTGTTAATAAATCTACCTTATTCCTGATTCTTATTTTATATCATAAGGCTGCTAAGTAGTCAGTTCACAAAATAAAAAATTTGTACGAGGAAATGATTCCTACTTTAAAATCTTTTTGTACATCAAATACATGAAAGCATATGCAACCGATGATACTAATTACGATTCAGGGTACCCCCCTCTTTTTTTACCGTCTTGGAAACCGGAGAAGCCAATGTCGGATCGGATTCAAATTTATACCAGAGATAGAACATCGAAAAAGAAAATCGATATATTTTTGCCCAGAATTTTCTGACGTGTTTTTTCTATGGATTTTCTGGAAAACTCCAGTTTTCTCGAGTCAACTCGAGTCGCATTTTTCTATGACTCAGACTCGAACTCGGACTCGAGGTGATACTCGATAAACTTGATAAACTGACTCGAGTCACTTTCGAGTCAGTCATGTGCAACTGCAAACAAGAAACTGGCATCATCTGTCCTCGTCACGAATAAACGAACGTTTTACTCTTCTGTAGCCTTTTGAATTCGTCTGCACTAAACTTTTTCTGATCTTTTTTCTAACTTTTCTCGTGTAACTCATGCCTATGCTATTGTCTAGCAAATATTGATATAAAATTGTTTATAACCTTATCATATCCGATAATCACGAAAACTTATAGTTATATGTAAATGGATGTGCTTCATAAGCTAATATTGTCCAGAATTCACTTTGAACGAAAACGTTTTGATTTTAGAAAAGAGGTTTCCATAAATCGGTTGTCAGTAGCCTATCAACAGTACTGATTATCTTAATCGAAATTAGTATCATCGGTTACATATGCTTGTATGTCTTTGGTGCACAAAGAGATTTTAAAGTAGGAATCGTTTCGTGGTTAGAGAGATAAAGACGCTGAAGCTAATAAAAGAATTTTCAAATGTCCGGATGAAGAGAGCATAGCTGTAGCTCAGCACTGAAGATGAGAAGCAAAGATTGTTTTTGTTCCTATCACTACATGTTTCTTTGGGCCCTCCGTATGTTGCAGGTATCTACATCTGGTAGTAGCCAAAAATTGGTATAGAAGTAGATTTCTACTTACATTAACATAGATTGAAAAACCAAGATTTTAGACCTAAGATTATATTTCAGTTAAAATAAAATTGAATTTAAATTTTGATCTTTTTATCGGTATTCATTTTTCCGACTAGAGATTAAAGTCTATTTTGTACTTTCGCTAAATATACTAATGGTATATACATTTGTTAATATTTTATGATTTTTGTAAATGCTGTGTAAAAGAAAATAAACAATACATACGTTTTCTAAAGCTCCTCTAATTCGTTTCGATAAACTGATTGTCTCTTGATACATTCTTTGTGTTGAATACCAAGTCTCTTCAATATGTTTCACTGCTGATTCTGGCAATAAATCAATGTTATCACGATAACTGATGATATCTTCGATACTTTGAAAACTATTTGTTAACTAAAAATAAAGAATAACATACATTTGAAGAAATAAAAGATTTTCTACTTACTTGTTCACCCTGTCGTTTAAAATCAACATAATTTTGAGCTAATGTTAAACGATTTGATATTTTTTCACTTAATTTTTGCCATGAATGGATTAAATGATCATAACGTGTTTTTGATATCTGTGCGTGACGATCATTACTCGATTGAAGTTCATTAACAATTCGAGATAACTGTTGAATATCATCTTCTTTTCTCTAGAAATATTTATCATACCATCAATTAAACGTATTCAGTGATCTCAAGTTAGCTTCTGTAATTTTACTGGCTCAAAAATGCTCATAATCTTATTTTTCAAAGAAAAAGTCTACATAGAAAATTGGGCTCTATTACGTCATTGCTGTATCTTGTAGCTTAAAGGTGAAGAGGAATTACTCATTTCTGACACCAGTACGATATAATTGGCTAAACGATAAACATCGGTAGCAGAAAAGTTACCGAGTTATCAAAGGAAAAATGGCATTCAGTATTTTGCATATGTTTTAGAGCTTTTACTAAAGCCTTTAAATTATTATTCGATCATTTCACAAGGCTGTTCGACGGTTCGTTTTGATCAGAAAAACTTTACAAATTGTTATTATTGAAATTGTCACCAAAATCAAAGGATTTCTAAAAACTATTTTCTAAAACTAATAGGAGTGTTTGGCCTTGTCAAAAGTAATATGAATACTCAAGCTATTCAGTCTACTCATCTCAAAATCGACTTTTCATTAAATGAATAAATTTTTCTCACAGATCAAATGTATTTAGTCTATCAGTACAAATGATGCTCTGTGATTGCGTATAAGTTATCTATTCTATCGTGGAGAAATGATACAGCAAACAGTATCTGACGATTGTAAGAAAAAGCCTAAAAGAATTAGAGTGATTTGTGATTTGCTTGTGGAGTTATGACCTGATTTAGGTATCTACAGTTAGCATTAAGGTTTCGCTAAGTGATTCCATATCTCATCTTCATTGGGGTTTGAACATCTAAAATTTCTATTGGAGACATATTTGTTTAATAGCTAGTTAGCCTAAAAACTTCATGTTATCTCTTCTGCTTGAACACAAAGTATACTTTTACTTCTCATGCTAATGTTACAACTCACATTTTTCTCATATCTACAATGAAACAAATTTAAATACTAAAAGTTTTTTGCTGCAAACATATTTTATCGCTTTCTAAAAAACGCGTATTTTACAATACTAAAAAAGGATTTACGAGGATGTCACTACCTTGATGAGATATGGAATAACCTAGCGAAACCTTAATGCTAACTATAGATAACTAAAACAAGCCATTACTCCACAAGCAAGTCGCAACTCACTGAAACTCTTTTAGGGGTTTTTCTCACAATCATCGATCCTGTCCACCAGTAAAATGTGAGCCCAAACGTGAGGTCACCTGAAAATCGGGGAATAATGAGAAACAATGGTAACCATAAACTTAGATACAAGAAGAATGTTTAAAAATCCCTCTGTTTAGTTGATTACTCATTGAGTCTTATTCTACTAGGCTGCGTTATATTTCTTAATATGAGGAATAACGAGCTCAAACTGATGTGTATCATCATAAAGTTGAGCTAAATAACTCCATTTCACAATATATTGTTCTTGCACATTAAAAAAAGAAATTTTAAGTCAGTTTAAGTCAAGGTTCAAGTCTAGGGTATATACCATCATAATACGATACAATATCTAGGTATATTTTAGTTACGATAGAAGAATTTCTTTTATACTCTTTAACTTTCTTTTTAAGATTTCAATTTTTCTATATTTATTTTGGTAATAATGTCTGTTAGAAATGTATATCGTTGACCATTAACTATTAACAGACGGTCGTCATATTGATTTTCATATTGGCCGATTATTTTGTAAAGGAGTATCGGTAAGTTGGTGGAAACTGAGTATTATTTACATCGTATCATAACAACTATATTTGATAACGATAACGTTCATTATGATTGACAAATGAAAGAAAATGTTTGAACTCAAACAACATTATTATTTCCATTTTTTCGTCAATAAAAATCAATTATTCCACATGTTCTACCCTATCAATATTTCTTTTTTTATATGACATGTACATTTGTCAGTAGATTTGCTATTATATTTCATGCATTGAAACATAAAAATTCATTAATAGATTTTATAATAATGATAGTTCATTGTATATAGTTATTGACATTATTGAACAAATATTTACATAGCTGGAAATATTGTCTACTGTTTTATTTGATAGTTGCATGGTTACAAGGGATATTACATGTAACGTTGATGATAAGTCATTATGCATGTAAAACACATTATTATAAATAATTTATAAATAATGGATGGTACGATAAATTGAATGAAAAGATAAAAGTTTATCATTTTTCTTTTCTAGATTTCATCGTCAAATTATTGCATGTATACGTCGAACAATAACCTGGCTACAAAATATTCATTCGTGACCGTATTTGGTGGTCTTAATTTACATGTTATTCATTATTTCTATCCGAGATTATCATCCGAATATTATTATGAGATAACTCAAATATGTAAAAGACATTCAATCGAATAGTAATCTCCTCATATTATTGATACTCAAAAACGTTTAATCAAACAATTATCAACAATGGCTACCATGTTTTTATTAGATTCAAGATAACTCACTCACTCACTTTCTTCACAGATACCAATCTTTTTGATTACCAAATTTTTCGACATGTCTTAATTACACACAAGAGACTGTCTGCTTTATAGAGAGAAACATGCTGAGCAAGATCGTAGTACTTATCGATTTACAGTGAGTATCATGAATAAGTATACGACAACAATATTTTTCTTCTGTTGCTTGTATTACTGAAATGAAAGCTAGGCAAAATTCTTTGAATTGCCTCAACAGTTAGTATCATGTCATGAAAATTATTAATTCAGCGCCAAAACGATTTTTAATCAATATAAACTATTTCTGTGATATTAGGCAAAATACGTACGGTGAGATGAAGAGCACACTAACGAAGATCCCCAGAATAGCCAAGAAAGATATAAATGAAGCCATACTTACTAAAGGGATAGAACAAATTAAAAAGGCAATTAAATTTTATAGAATTATTAAATATGGCGCACAGGAATGAATAAAAGAAAGCAATTCGATCCAAGGAACAACACTGGATTTATAGTATAGCGAATATTGAGAGCTAAAGATTCGCGATTTTCGCCATTCGAAAGAGAAATAAAATAAAAGAAGAAATAAAAATGTGAGATGCATCCTGAAAATTTGTTAATTAAAAGTACATCTACTCTTTTTCCACATGTCTATATTCCAGTGAACAATCTATTCAATGAAAAAAGACTGACTTTATTCATTTTTCTCATCCCATTCAACTTTTACACTATTTTTTTACTATTTATTACATTTAAGTTTAATCGTTAAATGTAAATCATTCTATTTCTGATCAATTATCATTAAATGAATTTTTACCTTTAAATCTTCTTCTAATTGTTGATGTATATCTAAAAAATCTCTTGCTTGTCTTAAATCTGCTCCCAATGATCGATATGTATTTAAAAATTTATCTCCAACATTGTATATCCATGAATTTAATTGAGTATATTTTTCATCAAATTTTTGATATAATGATGAACCTTGTTTTTCTAATTTTTCTGTTTCATTCATTAATATTTGTTTTAAATTTCTTACACGTAAATCTAAATCTTGAACACGTTGTCTTAAAAATGTTGAACCATAATCATCAATATGTGTACGTTCTAATACTATTTGTCCTTCACGTAAAGCAATAGCAGACGAGCGAATAATTTGATCATTTAACATTTGATATTCTTTTAATAAAAAATCACTTGATTTTGGTGTACCCGATGTTAACGAACGAAGTTTTAGTTCAATATCATCTAATTGAGAAAAAGATTCATTTGCATCCATGAAAAATGTTCGTGTTAATGCAAGTAATTTTCGTCTTAAATCGAGTTTTAATGCAAATTTTTCCCATAATTCTAACATTTCATGAGCATAAGCATGTAAATAATCGGCACGTTCAAGACCCGTATGTATCCATTGATCAACAGAACGCATACATTTTAATACACGATCATGAATTGGCTACAAAAAATATACTTTACAGATAAAATGTATTTTAAAAATTGTGTTAAAATATGTACCTGTGCTTCACTTTCAATATCTGTATGAATTGCTTGTAAACGTTCAGTATCAACAACATTACGACCCAAATCCGTATTTTCTAGATACGATTGTCCACGTGTTTGTAACCAAATTAAAATCTATAAAAAGAATAATTAAAATATTACTGTTAAGTTAAAATTTAATATTTTGTCAAAATGTTTTACTTGATGAATATCTTGTCTTGTCTGTGTCATTTGTGCATATTGTGCTAATAATGTTCGTTTATGTTCCCATTCATCTTCAAATGTTCGTCGTGTATCTTGATGAAGTCCCAACATATGTTCAACTTCATAACATGCAGCCACTGTTGAATGTTTATTACTTGCATCGGTAAAATTTCCCATATCACGAATACGTTCAAGTAGTAATTGTCCTTCATCAAGTGTACTAATTGATGTTTCCAATATAACTAGAAACAATTGAATAAATAAATGGAAATAGTATAAAAAGATTTTTAATCATACCCTTTCTGTATCTGTCATGTTGTTCCAATAGTTCGTTTAAACTTGAATGATCTAAATCATTTCGTTCTAAACTTGAAAACCAATCTTTTGCTTCATTAACACGATCATTAAACTAAAATTAAATAAATCATAGAGAATTAATTATTTTTGAATGTTAAAAAATATTATACTTTTCGAGAGATTTGATGAAACTGAACAGCTTGATTTAATAAATTTCGTCGACATTCTAATTGAAGATTTAATTCTTTCCATGCTTCGCCAAGTGATCGTGCCATAGCCTCGTAAACTTCATTGTAACTTTTTTGTTGGGTAACTAAGTCATCGGCTCTCGTTAATAATTCGGTTATATGATCTTGTTTTGCCTTAATACAGATGCGTGAAAATAACACAACTTTTTAAGATTCAATTTACAAGAAATACGATCAACAACAAAACAGGCATGATCAATATTTATCGGACATTTTGTTTTCAGTCGTTTCTATATTTTAGAGCATGTAGCCTTATCCGATTCTTTCTTTCCCAAAATGTTTAGTTTGAGCACCGAAACAATACTAGAATGAGCAAACTAAAAATTTATTCTGTCATCAAACAATCGTTTCAGACATTTTAAACTTCTAGCATAGAAACTATGATCAATTTACTCTTCATGTACAAAGTCTTAGATGTACGATTTCACTGATTATGCTCCAGTAAAAAGCCAGGAAAGTGTAGACGATAGGAAGTTTCTTTGAAATGATCTGTTATTCAGTCTAACCGAGTTGATTCATTTCAAAACATTTTCTGCGGCACCACTAACTTAGTACAGTACAAGATTGCAGAAAAAAAGTTTGAAATGGTACAAAAGTCCTCACTCGCTAAAAATTTGTTTTTGACTAAAAGCCTAAAAATTTTGAGACAACGCTTAAGATTTTAGTCAGCTATGTGATTTTATAGAGTAAATATTTCTCTTTAGAATAAGATGTCACGCAACTATTCACAATCTTTGAAATAGTATAGATAACCTCCACTCGTTAACATCGTGTTTGAAATTTAAATAAAACTAGGATTTTTCCAATAAAAATTCCTCGAGATAATATACTTCGCGCACTCAAACTGGTGAGAGTTTTGGGAGAGTAGAAATCCGATAAACGTCCCAAAATATCTAATTTTGTATGTTCTAAAACATACACAGAATCAACAAAATCTAAGATAATTCTTGATCCTGGCTCTTAGAGATATGCTAAGGGCGCAGTTTACCTTCAATTTACTAATCAGTTCTTCGTGTAATATTTGATATTGTATGGCTTCGTTTAAATTAGCACCAATTTCCATTAAATCCGGTTCCATTTGTTGAATACGTACACGAACAAAATCAGAGCTCTAAAGACAGGACCAATTGAAGTAAGTGTAAAATATACACGATATCTCAGTATCTTACACCTATGAGTCGTTGCATGAGAGAAACAACAAGTTATGCCCAGTCGGTGTCTCAGATTTTCTTCTAACTAGTCCTCTCTTGGTCAGTAGATGTAAAAACCTATAAATCCAAGTTTTGAGCCTTCTAGAACTTTTACTTTCTGAGTTCTGGACGGTTTTCTAGCAGTTCTCTTCAATGGAAAATTCAGCGTCTAAAAAATGGAGAACAAAAATAAAGATTCTGTTTCTCCGCCAAGACAAGTGATGGAAGAGGGATTTTTTTATCCTATGTAATCTATTGCACGGTCTATCCGATAATGCGGTCAGATCGTTTTTACCTCGGACCTTCAGCTCGACACCGAAGGTCTTCTGAGGATCCTAGGGGTTCATATTGTTTGATGTCGTTCTTGAGCTTCTGGCTTAAATATAAAACGAGATGCACTTTTCCATAAACATTCAAGTGTGGACTATCCGAACCCGGTCTCAAAAGTTTGGAGTCTTATCGATATCTCTGGAAAACCTTTTGGGGGTTTATAGAAATGCTTTAAGTTTATCAAAAAAGTTTTTAAATTACATAAATGAGAAGAGCACAAAATTCTGAACAAAATGTGGTATCATTGATAGTTTTTCAGTTTTTTTAAGTCATAAATTCGACAACCTAAAAATTAGGTTTTTATAGTAAACCATTCTTGCTTGCTTGAACATCTGTTATTTTCTTACCTTTTTAAAGTAATTGCTAAAATTATAAGCAATACCTCATTTTGTTCAGAATTTTGTGCTCTTCTCATTTATGTAAT